GCGCTCCAGCCTGTCATCGTCGAGTAGGTAGGTCATCAGCACGGAACCCTTTCCTTTCGCAGGCGGGACGCGGGTCCTCATTGCAGTCATCAGAGATCTCTCGCTGCCAGCCGTAATACGCGCCATGGCTGGTAGTGACAGATGTTTCATCGCTGTCACACCCGTCTGCGAAAATGTCATCGCGCGGAAGAAGGCGGCGGCGCCGGAGACGGATCGGGAGGAAGATTTTCACTCGGAAATAATTCGTCGCCTACGAACCGGTTGGCGGAGGCGCGTATTTCAAGGCCTTATGCCACCCTGAGTGATGTTTAGTAAAAAACTTACTCAAAATTACTAATTTAAATTGTAGTGTTAAACCGCTATTGGAATATTTAAAAAAAACCATATTCACCAAGGTATATTTCTAATAATTTTTCAAATACAGATGTTGAAGTATTCGGTAAAATATTGTTATTTTTGTTAAATTATCGAAACATCTTTTCTATGTGTATAAGTTTTACAAAATTTTTGGTCCACATTTGCCGCCCTAGGCTCCAGCCTACTCAGTCTGCTGGTAAATCCGCAACTGATTACACTGATCAACAAAATTTTGTAACAAGAAAAGTAAGCAGTGATTTCGAAATATCTACCTAACCTCTCCACAAAATCAAATGTATATCAATTTGATTAGGACTAGTTTCCGTGTACCGGCACTCATCAGTAAAATTTAATATTAATTGTTTTTTCCTTATTATTTTTTAATTCAGTGTTTTATTTTTCAAAAAAGTGGCTGTGTTTTGTGTTTGCTGAGTGAAGTGATTCTTAAAGAATGTCAAGAAAGTGTAAAAATGATCCTGACAAGTTCTGTTACATTTGTGGTGAAATTACTTTTGCGTCTCAATGAAGAATAAAAAAATTGTATGAAAGTTATTTCGGTTTTGCTGTTGGCCAGCAAGATAAAGTGTGGGTTCCTCACATCTGTTGTGTTACATGTGTAGGACTTCTTACAGGATGGGAAAAAAGATCTCGATCTATGCCTTTTGGAATTCCGATGATTTGGATGGAACCGACAAACCATTCAACTAATTGTTATTTTTGTCTAACTAATACAAAAGGCATTACAATTAAAACAAAAAAAAAAATTAAGTACCCTGATGTGTCATCTGCTAAAAAACTGATTCCTCACAGTGAAGAATTACCTATACCAGAACCACCTCAACGCTCTGATCTTTCAACTGAATCAGAGGAAACAGATAATAATAAAAGTACTGATCCTGATTTTCAAATTGCTTCTTCATCTATCTGTCTCAAGGAAGAAACGCCACACCTACTATCTCAAGGAGATCTTAATGACTTAGTTCGTGATTTACACTTGTCTAAACAACAAGGAGAACTTTTAGGATCTCGATTAAAAGGATGGAATTTATTGCAACAAAAAAAAATGGAGTCCAACTATGCTGGCAGATTATTGCTGGGGATTACAGAGGGATGTTCCTGACGCAAAATACAGGAGAAAATCATGAAAATGTACTCATATTAATATTATAACATTGATAATAATTTAATTCTTGTTAAAATAACTTGTAATTAAAGAAAAGTTAAAAAAAACATATTACAATAAAACTATTCGTATCTGAAATACTAGTCTACTAATTCTACACTACTTGACCTTATTCCTAATAGAATCAGCCAAAATTTTCCTTGTTACACAGAAAAAAAGTTTTTTTGTTGACCAGTGTTATACGATTGGTAAGTATATGCCTTTGACTTTGAGTACACAGACACTTGAATATACCTATTTTTGTTACGTGTATAGAAAATTGAACAAAAATAAAACGTAATTTATTTAACCTATTTTTTATTATTACTATACAAGTGTGTCCTCTTTAGTTAGTTTAAACACTATACTATACTTGTGCTCACAAGTATTGATCATTACTAAAAGTAGGATTTAAGCACAAGTTGTTCAACGACAAAGTTTTTAAAATTTTCCTTGGATTCATTATACATTCAGATAACTCACTAACAAACTGAGATCGCGAAGTTCTCATCCGGACATCGGAGTTACACTAACGAGTTAACTTTAACGAGTCCAGTGTAGCCTGTGATAGAATTAAAAACTAAAACATGCCAAGTTTCTAGTAAAAAATGTATAGGTAAGTGACAGTTGTATTTAGCTGAAGTATTTATTTTCTATAATAATAGCTAATACATTCTATAATAATTTCTTAATTAATTTTCGATTGCGCGGTTGTGAATTCAAAATCCAAAAACATGTTACTACACAACTAGTAAGTCTTTAAAAAAAAAAGTTGATTATAAGTAGTGCGTTAATCAGTGTTAAATTAAATGTTATTAATTGAGAACTACTGTATACTCACGATGAGTTTTACCACTTATGAGCGTAAGTAGGTAGTATAAAATATATATAGGATAGGGTAAGTGCGCCGGTTTACCACCTTAATTAGGCGACCATTTGACGGTCTAAAATAGCATTTCTAGAAGTAATATTAACAAAAAAAAAGCAAAACTTATAACTTTAATAAACAACACAAAAAAAGGAAGTTATACTTAACGTTTTTTAAGCAGTTATTAAAGAATAATTTGCATAGTTTAAAACAAATGATTTATGGTCACTATGTTCATTAGGTAACTGGATCGGCGATGGATGAAGGTATATTACTTTGTTTTATATCAAAACTATACTTTACTTAAGACCAATTTTCACTAACACATCCTATATTGCCTTTAGATAACATTTTCTTCTACTCGTCTGATTTGAGCAACCCAGCCAACTGGTCGCTATCCGGCGCAATGACCCTACATACCTAGTAGCTAGTCAGTGTGATTACATTATTTAAACGTTGAATGAAGTTATTAGTTAGGTAAATCGACAAACCTTATAAGATTGAAGAATAAAATAATTAGTTGGATAAGTTATTATTATTTAGTCTGTAGATACACGTGAGTTTGTTGCGAATAGATAATATTATTGTCGATGTTGTAGAAAAGTAAAAATAATATTTGGGACTTTTTGTAATTTAAGTCTAGAAATGGTGTACTTACGAGTACGTTGGTCCAGCCTGAAAATGCAAACATACGAGCATAGGTGCTAAGGAGAGGGAAGAGGTTCATTTAGGTAAGTAGTACTTAGATAACAAAAGTAGATTGCTATAGTCAAATTCTTCGATTATAAAGTTGTTACTTAGGCTTGGTCATCTGAATATACTTATCCAGTTCAAGAAATAAAAAGATGAAGCAAAGAACAGAAAAAGAAAATTGGTATAAAGCGATAAACGTAAGCGTAAGGCAAGTTCAAAGCTCATCGCCTTCTTAATTCGTTTTTATAGATCAAAAGAATTTCTTGGAATGACGAATATGACCTCCGATAGCACTTAGTTTTTTTTTCCATCTTTTATTTTTCGCCAATGTTTATAGTTATATTAAAATGACCACTCAATCTCCTTCTGCTCGTGAATTGGTATCCCATAGAATCGCTTATTTTTACTTTTTTAAATCAGTCCATTGTACTACTGTAGGTACTACCTATAAAAATTCACTGTGGTGTATCCGAAGGGACTTCCGCACAGAAAAAATAAAATAAAAAAGGTACTGTGTATTATTTATTTTATTAATATTCGTATAAAGCATAAGTTTTTAAATATTTCCTAGTATTATAACGAAATTGTATATAATTCCTAGGAAAAATATACATTTCAAGGGTAATCTTTAAAACATTATTCTACACGTTCCCTTCATACATTTCCGGTAACATGTACCTGCATTGCACCCTCTTACATTAATAAAAAAATTATTATAATGTTCCTGTATGTGTGTAGGTACCCATTGAAATTTTTCGTAATCCAATAAAGCCACGCATACTGGTTTGTAAAACTTTTATCTATTCTTTATAAAGCTTGGTAAGTCTAAAAAAATAATTTTATTGGGACAAAGCTGACAAATACGAAATTACCACAAATAATGAAATATTGTATAATACTGAGTTGTTTCTATCTTGGGAAATTATCAATGCCATCCTGTACTAGGCACTACTTAACCTATACATCCACATGATGACACCACAATTTTTACAAATAATGAAATATTGCTGCTTTGGTAAATTATCAATGCCATCCTGTACTAGGCACAACTTTACCTAGTACAGGACGGTATGGATCCCCAGATAGCTGCAAAACTCATAAAGGAAATTTCAGCATCATTTTAATATTGGGGAATCGAGTCCCGCCTATCACCACTGTGATTGAATTGAGGTCTCGGCTTAGCATACGCTGGCAATTTGCCCGGCTTGGGCGTCGCAGCGTCGGATCTTCATTGCAGTCATCGGAGAGCTCTCGCTACCAGGCATCATACGCGCCATGGCCGGCAGCGACAGATGTTTTACCGCGGTCGCATCCGTCTGCAAAGAAGTATTATTCATTTCACAGAAGGAGGCGGAGAATAGGGACCTGGAGGACGAGCTCTACTATGACCGTGATGAGGCGTGATTACCAGCGCCTCATGCCGCCATGAGTGCGGCCGCGGGAACGCGGTTGTTTATGAGAGTTATGTTATATCAAGTTAATGCATGCATACCCACTTGATGACTATGAAGAAATTGTCAGAACTTGATTGGTAACTTATGATGCATTATCCCTAAAGCTCGGACCTTGGACCATAAAAACTCTCGTGATGGCAAAAATTGGCCAAAGTTCTACCCCGATGCAAAAGTCGCAGATTATAATGATGAAAACTTGATTAAATTTGTGGTTATCAATTAAGAAAAAAATGTTAAAAATATAACAGAACACTTCCAACGACACATATGGCCTATAATATCTAGCGTTCACTAAGGTAAAAAAAACTTCATATATAGGGGGTTACATGCTTTATAACATTTATCAAATAATAATAGCGTTAACAATGTTTTCACTTTAAATACACAATAGTATAATAAAATGTAATATTGGCACTAGTCTAAAGTCTAATTATTTCTTAACTGCACGATTTTTGTAATGTAGTCATCAGCCTCGCCACCCGGTGAATGATGGAGACCTAAAAAATGAAAATTGCGTTACAGTTCACGGTTAAAATTTCTGAGGTTCTAGTGTAAGTTTATTTCACTTTAACTCGATCTACACGCTGGTCGCGTTCGGCGGTTGTAATTGGCCCGCACTGAAAACTTTACCATTCACAACGCCCGACGAGCTGCCATCAAGAGCGAATTGATGTAAAATAAACTGACACAAGGCCCTTTGCATAAATACTGGTCTTCTATCTAGAATTTAAGTCGAAAGTTTTGATGCACATCATTTATTTTTTCATGCTTTATAAATGTTAAAACCGTGAATGACTAATGTAGTATAAAAAATGCCCTGACGTTATGTAAATTAACCATTTTTTTATGATAATAAACAGATTAAAAGAAGTTCTGAAGCACTAATTATATTTTGAACATACGTGTTGAAAGTTGGGGCCGGTTGCTGCGTTGGCCCAGATTGCTGGGCGAGGTTGCCGAACGTCAGCGTGTTCTGTGTGGCGAGGCTCTCGAAGGTAGCGTTTGACTGTGTCGAACTGAACGCTGGAGCTAAACACAACGATAAAAACATTAATACGATAAACAAAAAAAGACGAATACGACTTCCTAGTTTTAGATAGGACGACTACGATATACAACTCCATACTGAAACTGTTAGCAGTTTAATACAGCAATACTAGTTATTTCATATGTTTGAGTGATAACTACCTATCTTTTTATACTGTATAAAATGAGTCTTTGAGTAGTTTTTATAGTACATCAAAAAAATATTACAACCTACAGCTTTTAAACTCACCAGCGTTACCGCCCCCGTATACTTTTCCAGGCGAAGTACTGCCGAACGGCGCCCCCCCCAAAAGTGGCCCCTCCTCCAAAAGCGGCAGGGGCACCGAATCCACTGTTTGGGCTTTTGTTGTATCCACCGCCGAACGAAGATCCAAATCCACCCGAAGGAGAGCCAAATGAAGCCGGGGATCCGAAACCCGGTTGATTACCACCAAACACAGTGGATCCACCGAAGGCGGGTTCTTCAAGAAATAATAAGGAAAGGTTGTAAAAATGTAAATCGATAATCAGTACTAGAATTTTCTATCTATGGAAACTAACTTCTAAATACTACTTTGTTTATTTATTTAAGTTTACATTTTATAGTTTATTTATAATACATTCAGAAGAGCACTGTCTTCTGAATAAGGCTCTTAATTTAGACGCCAAATGTGAGTCTCTGAAGATGTTAGTAGTGGTATTTAGCAATTATACCAATAGCCAAAATGACTATGCACAACGATTGAGGAAACCCTATCCAACATGAAAACAACCCGTGGGCTAAGGTTAAACATGTATTTTAAGATATAGTCGTTCCGAAGTCGGTAGCCGGGATGAAATCATATCTAACAAATGTCAATTGTGCCGTCCTTAATTATATAAATCCTACAGTTACTCGACGTAATGCATTTCTAATTGCACAGGTAACGGCATCGGTTTTTACTAAGAGGTCACTCAACCATAGCTAAGATACAGAATAAATAAAGACGTAAGTGGATGAAGGATGCGGCAGTCGCCTTTCCGGGTTTTTACAATTTTTTGCGTATATGAAGGTTATATGCCGATACAAATGATTTGAGACCTTTAAATAGTCGATTTAAGACATATTTTGGAAAATAGAAAGTTAATCAAGGTGTTATGTAGTTTAGTTTGGAAATGTCATTATATGAAAGTGGTGTGGGCCCCTGCCTTCCAGATAAATAAAAACGTTTTTTTTTTCATACATAGAAGAAAGAAGGTGATACGTTCGTACATAACTCCTTCATCCACTCAGTTTATGAAACTCGAATGACCCAACGTCACTAAGCAGTGAATGAAGGTGCTATATGACGTACATATTCCTTATTCTATTCAATTATTTTGTTTTTTATTTTGTCCCATTCTCACGTGCTTCCTACTAATATAGTTTAGTGTAGCTTACGTGTAAGCAAAAATATTGTTACAAAATACTAATTTATATTAGTAAACTGTCAAACCAAATGGCACCGGCTAAATTGCTAGTCTGAACAACTTTTATTCATTGGATTCCAATAGTAAGAATGCTTAATTATTCAATAGTATCAGTACTAGTAACGCTAGAAAGTATAATTCTGCCATCTATTAGTTTTACGTGTAAAGTCTAGGAATTATGAAAGAAATATCCAAGTTAGGTTTGTGTTAACATCCCTGATAAGTCGTAATAAAATTGATGTCATTATAAAATATATCAAGAACGGTCTTTCAGATCCTAAAGCAGCTCATAAGGGAAGACATCAGAATCGTCCACACAAATTGCATTACGTCCAACGTATCAAAAAACTCATATATCTAGTTTTCCTGCTGAACAATCACATTATTCTCGAAATAAAAATATGCACAAACTATATTTGCTGAATTTTACTAAAATGAATGAAATGGCCTTTGATTAGAAATCTGTCACACTGAGGACTTATCAAATACATTTGAAGAATGGAATGGAGGTATTGTGTACATTGAGATTGATTTGCAATAAACAATGCCGTAGTCAACACCAACAACTTTAAAAGTCTTCTACTGTGGTTTGGCTGGTACGCCAAATGTGGTTTTATAATCTGGGTATTCCTGTTAATGATAGAGATAACCAAAATGACGTATATTGTAGTCAGTCGTTGTTGAAGTCAGAAGCGCACTTTTCAGATTTGTGGAGGTTGATCCAAGTTGCCAAAATGAAGATCATTTATTGATTTGGTTGGATTCATGTGCCGGACAAAACAAACACTTTAATATGATTGCACTTTACCAATACCTTATCTTAAAAGGCTATTTCAATTTAATCGACCATAAGTTACCGGAAGTATTTAGACTCGGATTAGGATTTTAGTAGAATCGAAAAAGTACTTAGAAAAAAATATATAAAAAATTATGTTCCTGATCATGCATAGCATAGCATTTGCAAAACTTTTCGTTACAATACTGTAGTCGATATGACCGATCATTTCAGGAAAATTAGTAAGCTATAAGAAAAACTTAATTTGTTTAAGAGGAAAAAAGATGAGAACAACGGAAAAGTTAGTTTTAGGGATGGTATTGAGTGGATTCGCGTCGGGTCCTATCTTTATAAAGAAACATACGATGAAATGACACCCTTTAAAAATGTAAACATTTTAGGAAAAAGATTCAAGATATTTTTTTCCAAGTTTGAACAGAAAATATGGTACTGTTAATACGTAAAACCAGAATATCGCTACTTCTATGAGTCGATTTTAAGGCAATATTAATTAAAAAATGGTAAGTCAAGACATTGCACACAAGTGATCTCTGCTAAGAGTTTACTTTTCTATTGATGTTGTTTAGCTACAATAAAATAACCTGACAATGTTTACCTACATTCGTACTTAGCACCTAACTTTAAAAAGATTTTGAAGAATTTTGCTTTTGTTCGTAGAAGAAAAAGTTACATATGTTCAGCTTTTTTTTTTTTTTTAAATAACGTACTAAGTGTTTAATTGCTATTATAACATGATTATTTGAGGTTTAGTTCAAAATACATTTTTGTACCGACTTATCTCAAAAAAAAAAAGTACAACTTTAAGCACACCGGTGGGCACAGGCGATCGAGACCAAAGGAGAGGCTTGTGCGGTTAGTTTGGACATAGCGAAGGCCTTTGATCGGCGCTTCTCTCAAAGCTCCCTTCCTTTGGGCTTCCCGAGAAATTGTGTAATTGGGTCACCATGCGGACAGAAGCATTAAGGCCGTTGTCGACGGTGCATGCTCCGACTTGAAATTCGTAAATGCTGGTGTCCCACAAGGCTGTGTGTTATCACCCACACTGTTTCTTCTGCATATCAATGACATGTTGCAAACTAGTAGCATACATTGCTATGCAGATGATAGTACAGGAGATGCCCTTTATACCGGCAGCCACAATATTTCTGGTGAAAACTTCGAAAGGGAGAGTCGAAACCAACTTGTGTCTGAAATTGAAACTTCCTTAGCGGAGGTTTCAGATTGAGGCCGACTAAATCTAGTCCAGTTTAACCCAAAAAAGACACAGGTATGTGTACCTTTTTTTTACTTTACTGACTGACTTTGCCTGAGGTAGGTATACCTCAGTTTGAGAGCACCTCCATAACTGCTTCAGCCAGCATCGGAATCCTAGGCATCGACATATCGAGCGAATTCCAGTTTCGGGGTCACCTAGAGGGTAAGGTCAAATCGGCCTCGAAGAAGCTCGGTGTCCTGAACAGATCGAGGCAGTGTTTCACTACGGCCCACCGCCTTCAGCTCTATAAGGCGCAAGTCCAGCCGCATATGGAATACTGTTCTCATCTCTATGCAGGGGCACCTCAGTACCAGCTTCTCCCTCTGGACCGCATCCAACGAAGAGCGACTCGAATCGTCGATAGCCCAAACATCTCCGATCGGCTCGATCTCTTGGCGTTACTTAGAAATGTGGCTTCACTCTGCATTCTCTATTGCATATATCATGGAGAGTGTTCCGAGGAATTGTTCGGACTAATACCAGCCGCAAATTTCCGCCATCGTTCCACACGGCAAAATTTTCATCCTCTTTACTTGGATAGTTGGCGCTCCACTACTGTGCGCTTTTCACAACCACCTTTGCACAACCAATCTGTGGAGTGGATTATCGTCTGCGGTATTTCCGAACCGATACGACCTTCAAACCTTCAAGAAAGGCCGGCAACGGCAACGCGTTTGTGACTCCTGAGTTGCAGACGTTCATGGGCGACGATAGTCACTTTCTATCAGGTGACCCGTCTGCTCGTCTGCCCCCTCTATATAATACCCTACATACAAAGAAACCTCGACTTCCTCAAAATTAGAATTTTGCGACTTTTCACCTTCATCAACTCGTGTCTTTAATCTATATAATATAGTCTCTTTGCGATCAGTAATTCTATAGTATAGTTAATAATAGTTATAAAGTAAAAACCGAATGTTGATTGTTGATCAGTAGTACAATACATTATAATTTCTTTAGACTATACCGGTGCTAGACTGCTGCTGAGGGGTACTAAATACGCTTTGCTGTGGTGTGCCAAACCCTTGTCCGGCGGAGGGACTGCTAAAGCTACCGCCAGTACTGCCACCGAAAATAGATGACGCTTGTGTTGTGGCTTGCTGACCTGTTAAACAAGTTTTATTAATACATAACACTATTATAAAATATCAATTACAGGCTACTTTAATCACAGCTACAATAATATCCTTTCAATAAAATGTATCTTACCAAATCCTCCACCAGACGATCCAAATCCACCCTCAGTGTTCCCACTGCCACCCGTCCAGAAGTTACTGTTTGGTTTCTGTCCAAATGTTGTCGCCCCACCGGCGCCAAATATTGATGCTGCGGTTGGATTAGGCTGCCCAAACGTCGCCTTGTTGCCAAATACGTTTGTGTTGCTACCAAATACTGAACCCGATGAACTGTGAAAACATGATTATAATCACTATAGCTACATAAATTGTATTTTACTTCTGAATATTTTCTTTTTCTATTGTAGTCTGAAAATATTACATATTATTGTGGATCGTGGATATTCTCATGTTTATAGTACACTGGGATTCGTTTGACGGTAAAGCAGATGGATAATATTATAAAAATAATATTAAAGTATTAATTATGGAATTATAAATACCTAACTGAATCAATTGACATTATTGAGCAAGTGAACACATTCAGCTAACTTTTCTTAAATGAATTGTTCAGTAATGCGATACATTGCTACGAGGGCATGAAATTATTTATATCGCTCCCATGAATATTGGTAACATTTTGCACGAATAGATTTCTTAAGTGTCAAGATGCGATTTTAATTCCAATAAATGGATATCGTTTTAGATTCCTGCGGCAAGACGGCGTAGAGTTATGTATGTATGCAAATATAGTTAATGAAGTACATATTACTAACTATTACTATTCTAATTTCATACTATTATCCTATAGTTGCAAGTGTAACAAAATGTTATACCTCCCACCAAAGATACTGCCACCACTTGATTGTGATGGAGCGCTGGTTGTAGATATACTGGCCGCTGCAAATAAGTTGGCGTCTGCACCACCGAATAAAGAAGTACTTTGTGCTGCAGTGGAGTCCGAAGTACCAAATACGGATGTTTGAGCAGGGGTACTTCCAAATACTGATGCTTGAGTCGTTGGAGGTGGTGTTCCAAATATTGAGGCTTGAGTCGTTGGGGGCGGTGTTCCAAATATTGAGGCTTGAGTTGTAGGAGGTGGTGTTCCAAGTACTGATGTCTGAGTTGTTGGAGGCGGTGTTCCAAATATTGAGGCTTGAGTCGTTGAAGGCGGTGTTACGTATGCTGGCAAAGATAATAGACTTTAGGAACTATTACTTACCAATTCAGGCAGATAATATTTCCAAAAATTATGAAGTCTCTGAAGCGGTGACAATTATCTGGAGAATTTTTTAATGTATATGTGTGTGTTAACATGCAAAGCAAATGACCTAGTTAAATGAAGATAAATAAGAACGGACTGTACATTTTTTTTATTACCTGAAGTATTGGTCGCAGTTGCTGAGCCAAATATTGAAGAAGCTTGGGTGGTAGTTGATTGACCACCAAATACTGTGGCTGAGTTAGAGTTTGCTGCAGCGGAAGCAAATACAGATCCTCCTGAGGTAGCAAACGCAGTTGTTGTGGCTGTAGTCGTATTTGCACCAAACACAGAAGTCTGAGTAGTCTGAGTAGTTGGAGTAAATGCACTAGGCGTAGAACTAAAAACTGATGGCGTTGTAGTAGTGGCATCGAAAACAGATGCTTTAGTTGTCGCTGATGCAAAAACGGCTGTTGTTGATGATCCAAAGACTGGCGTTGTGGATGAGGTTGTTGTTAAGGTCGGGAATACTGAAGAGCCAAAAATTGACGTAGTTTGAGATGTTGTAACAGGTGACCCAAAAGTAGATGAAATTGTTTCTTTAGTGGGAGAATCTGATGTTTGACTGTTTAATGCTGAGGATTCAGTTGTCGTAGTACTAGTTGCTGTAGTCGTTGGTGCAAATATAGAGGTTTGAGAAGACCCAAATATGGACCCCTTTGATGTTGATCCAAATATTGGTGCTGATGTAAGTGGTGAAGATGCAGCAGCTGCGGCAAATATTGAACCGGCTTGTGATGTATTCTTAGCTTGTGCAGCAATTGCAGCTCCAAAGACTGAAGCAGCTGTTGAAGAATTAGTTGACGAAAATATTGAAGGTTTTAGTGACGGAACGGTTTCAACTGGGGTCGAAGCTGGCGTAACAGGTTCCGGTTTTGAAGTGACTTCATCGAGTTTCAGTGGTGATGGTTTTGCTTCTAAAAAGAAAATAACAAGAATGGAACAATTGAAATTTTCTGTGCCTAATAAGGTGTGAACATTCTCGAGCTTTGCTGGGAGTAAGTAGATCTTTAAAGTCGTAAATCTACATTGAATTGATGAAAAAATGATTACCGTCAGGAACCGTAGCATTACCAGCAGCAAATATTGATGATGCGCTTGACGTCGGACTGACGGGCTTTTCTTTTACAGGTTCTACTTTAGGTTCAGTTTTTACCATGGTTGGTGTTGATTCAGCTACAAAAAACATGACTTTTAGTCACAATATGTCAAAACCATACTGATGTGTCTTTATAAAAATGTTTATAGACTAACAGAATATTAAAATAAGTACAGGCTGAAAAGTTATAATCCGATACCAGTATTTCAATTCGGGTTGGAGCAGATCTTATGTAGTAACTAATAAAAGGAGAAACAAACCTAAATAATAAATATATTATGATGTAAATTGAATTAAAAAAAATACTTAATTTTGTTTGGAATTGAAATATCGAGATTTTAACAACAAACAAATACCTGTTTATGTTTGATGTTGCAGTCGAGATCTAATGAATTTCTAGTTGTTAAGTTAATTACGATAATGTTATTATATTTAAAATATACATATAATCGTAATTAACTAACAGGAAAAAAAAGAAGTGTCCCTTATGGATGTATCTCATGGTATATATGAAATGCCTAATTATGGCAGTGTTAGTGAGGCGTAGATGTGTCACGAACTGCTAATGGCAAAAATTTTTTTTTAGTGGGGTTATATTTATAAATTTCACAAAATTAAACATGACATGTTAACACAAACGATCTCAAAATCCTACCATAATCCCGGGGAGAAACTTTTAAGTAACACAATATGAAAGAGCTTCTTACTTGAACTTTGAGAGGAACTGCTACTGCTGTGATCCTCAGGAACTGCACCAAATATAGAAGTTTTAGTCATTTGGATCGTCAAATTTTTAGCTCCATCTTTCTTTTCAGCAACTGGCTTTTGAATAACTTTAACTTCAGACTTCTCTGGTAAATTTTCTTTTTCAACTGTTTTACTACTTGTTTTAGTTTGAGCTTTGGCAATGTCTTGGGTTGTTTTCAAAACATCAGGAACGTTAGCACTTGAAATAGACGTAGCTGTTTTCGCACCGAAGATACAAGTGAGCGGTTTCTCAACTTTCGGTTTAAGAGTAAACGTTTTAGTTTCAACAGCCTCAGGCTCGCCGGTTTCGCTGGATTTGGAATTGGCAGTTCCTGGGCTTTGAGGTTTAGACTCTTGAGCTAAGGAAAGCGGTTTTGTCTCCAGTGCAGAAGGTTGCGGCTTTGGTTCAAATGTTTGTGATGTAGTCTCAGGGACAAATGGTTTCGATTCTGGTACAAAAGATTGCGGTTGAAATTTGTTGAATATATTGAAAACTTCTGATGTTGGTTTAGTTGCAAATACTGTTGTATTTGTTGCTGTACTACCAGCGGGAGAAATAGTACTTGATGAAACTGAAATAAAAATGATTTTTTAACATTAATTGTTACCAAATCTTGAGGCTGAATTATTAACAATAAAATCTTAACACATCTCATAAGGCCCTCTGATCCTAAACTAGGCAGAGCCTGTATTATGGTAACCATACATATTATAGATAAAATATAATAACTTAATAATAATAAAATTAATTATAAATATATTATTCAATGGGGTAGGACCTTGCCTTTGCCTTGTGGTAGTATAGATTAGTAAGTTTATAGATCATTGCTCGTAAGCAATTTGGAATGCGTGTAAAAAAATTAAATTAATATGACCATAAATAATATAATTAATTTTACTTTAGTACATCTAAGATCAAAGTAACAAGCACAAACCAGCCATTTACTACTTGTAATGCTCTTAGTTTTATTCTACAATTACATTAAACTAATTAAGATTTTTTTAAATTATAAAACTTACAAGCAAAAGTTGAGGGTGAACAAATTTTCTGTCCCATAAACGTATTAGAATCATCTTTAGTTTCAGCCGCTTTTGGTTCAAAACTTGTTTGCCTGTTTTGCAGTAGATCTTTGAGAACGCTGCCTTGTGCATTGTTCATCGCCGAAGACGATGTTAACGGTGTAACTGGTGTTTCATGTGAATATTGAGAGATGAAAGCAGATACTGTATTCTTGGGTGTCGTTGACGGCATTTGAGCCTTTTCAGAAGGTACTGATTTAAGTTCTAAAAATATTAAATAATTTATACACAAGCTTTTCTATGAAACTTGGTTGCAGGCATAATAGAACATATATCTTCCAACATATATTTAGGGCACCTTCTAATACCTACTGTGTTGATTAACTTACTTGAAGATCTTAATTAAAGATCGTATTCACTTGGTAACTTTTTGTACTACTAAAATAATATTTAAAGTTAAATTTCTTTTAACTAACATCATCGTCATCATTCGGGGTTTTACCCCAATTTTAGTTAGGGTGGCTGCTAAGTGTAACATTGCATGAGGTTTTGGATGGTTTTCTTATAGGCGGCCGCCTAACTGAGGCCAACCCTTCTTAGGAATTCAGACAAGACAAAAGAAAAAGTAAATTTAGGCAAGGAAAACAAAAAGTGTGACGAAGTTGTGGTCAAAAGAAGGGATACCGTAAATCTCGAATGGGGAACGGGAGTAACACTGAGTTACTCGGAGAGGCCAGTGCATCGTACACGTTCTGTGCGGTAATTGTAGAAGTCACTAAGACACCCATGATCATCAATTGTTCAGTTTTATAGTAAGTATCTATCTCCAAGTCTCCATTTTAGAGTAATATTATTTAAAACAAAATTCCAATGACTTTGTTCTTAAAATTGGAATAAAGTTTTTAAAAATTAAAATTGGAAAAGGGAGAAAATAACAAGGCCGCAAAATATACGAACATCGTACTGTCTGATTCATTGTTGTATAGATATTAAAGAGAAAAATGTATAGACATAAAGAAATACCGTCAGTGAATAGTGTTCTAGCGACATTAGTCAAACTTGGAACAGGCGGTTTCATGGGGCCTGGAGGCGTGAATGATTGAGTATTCTTAGGTGTCGGCATTGGCTCCTGCTTCGGCTCGGTTTTTACTTGAACATTTGGTAAGACTCCAACTTGTGCTTTCACTGTAACTAGAAAAGGGAGTTTATTTGAAAAGTGTTACGTTTTCATGAAAAATACTTGGAACACGTTATATCTGCGTTCAGGATAAAATTTACCATATTGGACAACTATGAAACTCGAAAGTTTGAGAGAAAGATCAAAAATTGCTCCTCAAAAGAAGCTTCTATAAGAACAAACCGACCTCTAAATATTAGACGCTAATGAACTCTAGGAAAGTGGACTCTACTTGTTTTCAATAGAAGTTATTTTTAGATTTTTTGTACAGCTGTTTTTAGTCAATCATTAATAGTAGAATTCAGAGTGTTTTCACCCCTATTCATCCCGTGGGTGTCGTAAGAGCTGACTAAGGAAGCAAACTGCACAGGACAACAGTATTGCAAAGAGAAATTAAACTTTAACAACAACAACAAACTCTAACAAACCCTTTAACAACCCTTCTGTCTAGCGTGGTACAGTAGGCCAAAACCTCCTTACTAAGGAGAGGCCTATATTCAGCAGTGAACTATTGGAGGCTGTTGATGATTAAGAGTTCCTATTTTTTTAGGAATTCACATGTAATTAAAGTTTTTTGTTTCACATGTAATTATTAGTTTTTGTACTTGTAAAACCCTAAACTACAGTTATTCTGTATCTAAGTATTAAAAAACAGTCTTCCGGTATTGGTGCCAATTATAACATATATCTGCAATCTTTGCTTGCAAACAGGCGTATTTCCAGACTCACTCAAAAAGGCGATAATACACCCGATTCACAAGGGAGGGGACAGAAACTGTGTCAACAACTACAGACCCATATCTGTTTTGTCTTCGCTCTCTAAAGTCTTGGAAAAGATTCTTAACAACCGGTTAAGAACTTTTCTAGAGAAATACAAAATTATAGCTGACAACCAGTACGGTTTCAGGTCAGGCATATCAACAGAGGATGCTATACTGGAACTGACACAGCTGGTCGCTGGAAAGCTTGATAACGGCATTAAATGTATGGGGATATTCTTGGATCTTACCAAGGCATTTGACACGGTTTCTGTTCCCAAACTTCTTTCGAAAATGGAACGCCTGGGTGTGAGAGGCATTGTACTAGACATATTCAAGGATTACCTAAAAAATCGCACCCAGTGTGTTAAAATTGATATGTATCTGAGTGATGAAGAGCAGTTGACTTACGGTATTCCGCAGGGTAGTATCCTTGGCCCTACCCTCTTCCAGATATATGTTAATGATCTGTGCACGATGGACTTTCCAAACTCCAAGCTATGCGCTTATGCCGACGACACGGCAATAATAGTTTATGGATCTACTTGGGATTTTGTTAAAAGAGAGGCAGAAACTACTCTTGCTAAAATAATGAGTTGGTTAAACTCAAACTTGTTAACCCTAAATTTAAACAAAACTGTTTTTATTCCCTTTGCCATTCGACGTAACACCTCCCCGCCTTCTTCTTTTTCACTAACTGCCCATTCATGTACAGACCAATCCGTGTCTTGTTCTTGCGCTACACTCAAGAGGACTGATAGCGTTAAGTACCTAGGTGTCCTTATTGACGATGCACTAAAATGGGATAAACAATTGGATGCATTGACTACTCGTGTAATGCGTCTCATTCACATATTTAAGACACTCAGGGAGACTGCGAACAGCGCTACATTAAACTTAGTATATAATGTCTTATGCAAATCAATTATAGAATACTGTATCGTTGTTTGGGGAGGAGCAAATAAAACAAAATTTCTGAGAGTAGAACGAGCACAAAGAGCCATACTTAAAGTTATGACCAAAAAGCCCAGGAAATACCCAACTACAAAATTATATTCAGAATGTCGAGTACTAACAGTACGTCAGCTCTATGTGCTCAAATCGATCCTTAGGAAGCATTCGAGACTACCCCCTGCGGACCCTACGAAGCGAACCAACCTTCTCCCAGGCACCCCACACAATACCACATTTGCTAAATACCAGTACTATACGCAAAGCACTCACGTATATAAGCAAATACATAAAAAGTTGGGTATTAGAGATCTTAACATATATGAAGTAAAGTCTAAAGTGACCGAGTGGTTACAAAATCAAGACTACGTCCAAACAGAGTCTCTTTTAAAATACCTCTCATGACCCCCCCAAACACACTTTCACACACACAACACATATACACACACAACACACACTCACACACATACACTCACACCATAAATATATCCATACAAATCGAAATATTTATATTATATAAAATAGATTAAAAATTGCTTGCCTTAATGAAAGATCAACACTGCTTCCAACCTGTTGTATAATTCTTTTAGTGTAAACTGATAGCCTGACACTAGCTCTTAAAATACAGGAATACCTAGTTTAAGAGATAGCGTTATTATTTTTGGTACAGATTATACTCGTAGCAACTAAGGACTAAGTACAATGCACTACTGTAATTAAAATCTAATCTGTTGTTCTTTTTATGCACAAACTATATCTGTATTTTTTCTGGTAAATAAAGATTATTATTATTATTATTATTATTATCTGTATCTAAGTATGATGTTATAAAAATGCTTACCTGGATTGACTTCTGGTTTCACATCAGATGGACTTACTACCGGTGAATTTTCCTTCAAGGTTTTAGCATAATTTAACTTCATATTTGCCAAGTGCTGTTTCATTTCAACATTAACAGGCTTTATCTTAACTGTTTTGTGGTTGGATAGCATGTCTCTTAGGGCATCCAATTTTTGCGAGGATAGTAAAGGTTCCTTTGTAGTCTCCGGTTCAATGCTCATATTAAGTATATTCTTTGTTAGTTTTGATAGTGGGTCTCTGAAACAATATATGATTTAATCGTTTCTATTGGGAACGCTTAAAATGTGGGTCTTTTTGTAACTATTCTATCTAAGCTAAATGCTTGTGTCAGGTATAAGTTTCTTTTGGTACTGTACTGGATAGGATTCGTAACCGCACCCGAAATTTGATAAACAAAATTAAATTAACTTTACAAGACTTCACTAAAACAACACACACACACACATATAAAAGCTGAATTTCTCATTGAGATAAAAAGGTTTTAACTTTAGATAGCACTTCTACCACTATCAACAATACCAGTTTGATCTGTGTGAAGTATTTTAGATGATATAAGAGTGATTCGGAATGTTAAAATAAGAAACCTACTTATTTTTGAAAGGCGTGTTCCTCAACAACGAGGTGGATTTGAACATAGGGAGCACATCACAATCTTTGAGCGTATTTCTAAGCGTACGTAGTACAGCTTGCTGTCTGCTTAGTATCTCTTGTTGTTTTACCAAAGGTTGGTACACATCATCCAAGATGGGGCGGATCATACGTTGTCCTGGCCTGAAATGTAAGTAAAAAAAGTATTTTAGTCTTAGTCTTTAGTCAGCACTTATAGTAAAACTGTAAAGGTGAACAAAATGGAAAACAAGTTTAAGCCAGTTACAAAATAGTATTTTATAGAATTCTTTGTAGCATCTCCCTTGAAATCCAAAAGGGTGTTGCAGCGCTGTCTGAGTTATCAGATCAGTCAGATACAGTTATTGTTTTCAAAAGTGTAACACGTGTGCACGTAAATGGTGCCCAAGTACAACAAATAAAGTGTTAATGCCTCCTTTTTGTAGAAAAATAATAATCTACTGAATATACAAGTAACAGTAGCAGTTCTATAAGCATAACAAATATGCAGCACTAACTTGTTAAAATGTGGGTCTCGTCGGAGAGCTTCGTTCCACTTGTAATCAAGTGCTTTTTGGGCCTGTTCCAGTTGGTTTTCTACGTAGTAAGCTAGTTTCTTTATAGAGGCCACGCGTTTCGTAGTTAAAGGATCTGCTTGAGTCCATTGGTGGTAGTCCTTTGCCCTGAAAGTTTTCATGTACAGTGATTAAAACTGTTTTATGGTAGATTTTATGAAAGTTCTTGTATAGCATTATAGTATGTAGTAATGAAATAAGTTGAAAATATAAAAAATATGTAAATTAAGTTACTGTTTATTTAAAGTAATCGAAATTAAAAATGCAACTGTAATTCAATCCATGATAAATTTAGTCAAGATATTACATACAATACAATATTACATATTGAATTAGTTAACAAGAATATACCATAAACTTTTAAGCTTAAAGTTTCAGCACAGCTGTATGAGTATTATGTGATGTATGTTGACCATGTAATGTTAAGTTATTAACCGTCACATGCAACCGCTTTCGAAAGATCAAATCGTAACGACGTCAAGAATTCATTTTAAAGACTGTGTATTTATTTCGTCTCAAATAATTCCATTTTTAGGATCCTTGGATTACTGTTAAATTATCCATTAATTGTTCAATTCATAATTGAACATTTTATTATTGCTGATTCACATCAGCGACATTCAATCCCACTTCAAAATTAATCATTTAGAAGTTTTGTTCTGGGATACATTCACATTGAGTGAAAATTTAATTACAAAAGTTCTATAAAATTATTTTAGATACTTGAAAATCACACTTAAAATCTTATACTACTAGCTAAAATATCGATCTGTGCTAAAGATCTCAATGTAGTTCTTAAAAATATCATTAACTTACTCAGCGTGAGTTCTGGCCTCAGCAATGACAGCGCACGCTCGCACCAACTCTAACTTTAACTGCACTATGGCACCACGCATATCGTCTAAAAAGCACTCTTTCTTTAATTGTTCGCTGCTTATAGACAAGCCAACAAAATTTGTCTTCATCGAATCGATGTCGCGTTGTAACTGCAATAATTTTAATATTGTTTATTTGACTGAATTAATATATTATTTATTAATATACATTATGATACATATTAATGTACATTATGAATATAATAATATATAGTAGGCCAAAAAATTAAAACGGCAAATTAACAAGAAATGATTTGTAAAGTGCTTTCGATACAAATTTTTAATAATGAATAAGAGGGGTGACTTAAAGCTAGCTCGATACACGACGACGTTGCACCTTACTACACAAATCCTGCACGTTCTATAATTACGTAATAGGCTTTTTTCAAACAGGCCTATGTCCAGCAGTAGACTATTAGAGGCTGCTGCTGTGCTGACTCAATTAATAAATGACTTCTAATTAAAACCTGCACAGATGACGTATGGTTTAAGCGGTCAACTCGCCGCTTCCTACTGCACAAGCGTTGTGGGTTCGATCCCCATGGAACAACACCGTGTATCATCCACAAATTATTGTTTTGAGTCTGGGTCTTTGTGTGCGTTTTAAGGATGTTTGTAAAGTCCCCCATGACACAGGGCATAATCCCAGTGCGAGAGTTGTCTTTTAAAAAACGAAAAGAAACAACTGAAATATTTACATATATTTCAGTTATTTCTTTTCTTTTTTTTTTCAATTTTTAATATTGTGCCTTGTGTCTTTATTAAAAATTTCCTAGTAAAATCATACTTAACTCTTGTGCTGTATCATATTTTAAAGAATGAACATTACTCGGTGCTGACTTACCTTTGCCTGGGTTTCTCTAGTCTTAACCGTGAATCTGTACAATTCCTTTTGAAAGTCATTCACTTCCTTCACAAGCATATTCTTTAGTTGTTGGTTGGCTTTCATTTCGCCAATCCTTTCCTGTTCAGCCTTTAGGGCGGCGTTCTCTTGAGCTTGTTGCGCTGTTTGTGGCTTTGGTTCAACAGGAAGCTAACAGAGATAGTATTATTATAGAGTGTCACATTCACAATATAAAGATCTTTTTTATTGCCATTACGTGATTTAGTTTCCCAATTCAAATTATACTACTGTTCATCAACAGCCTTTGATAGTCCACTGCTGGACATAAGCCTTTCCTTAGAAAGGAGGTTTTGGCCTACTATACCACGCTGGCCAGACGGGTTGGTATAGGGTTTGTGTCAAGTTTTCCTTCTCTCTGCAGTGCTGTTGTTCTGCGTAGTTTTTTACCTTAGTCGTCTCTTACGACACCCACGGGATGAATAGGGGTAGTGACACTGTATTCTTAATCCGTCACTACACGGATACTACTGTTACGATGGTTTAACAAAAGAGAAACATTTTAACAATATGGCAAAAATAAGTTATTATATGTATTAATTTTTACAGTGGAATTTATGTAAAAATAAGAAAAATAAATTACCGGAGGATTTATAACGGCTTTAGGTTGCACAATTGGTGTTGGTTTTATTTCTGTAACTTGTTTCTGTTCTCCTTGGACTGCTACTGAAATGATGTGAATGTAAAAAATAAAGTAACCCGATTGTTTACTACACACATATGAAAATATACATTCTATTAGTATCCTGTACATTCACTTTTTAGCGGACTGAGGAAAAGAAGTTTGCCCAGTTATTTATATTTTGTATGTATGTACAAAAATCACTAAAATGCGTCTATTTTCGATGGTTTCGTTTGTTGTTTCAAGCCGCATAGTTGCGACGTATGTAAGTAAACTAGTAAGTTCTTTCATAAGTAACACTAATATTGGAGTAGTTATTTTAAAATCTTTGAACTAAAATCATTGAAAATTGTTAAATAATTAGAAAAAAACGTGAAAACGTCTTCATCAAGTTATTTAGCTATATATAAAACTAGTTGACCTGCCGTTGTAAGCATAAGCTTTATTTTAGCCGCCGGCATCCGATCTCTAGGTAGAATTAATTTATATATTCAAACTTATTTTCATTTTAGGGACAAAATAAACTTAACTAACGCGAATAAAGCCATGGGTTTATTCGCGTTATTAGTAGACAGTACCTGAAGAGTGTCCCTGGCTGATCGGTGGCTGAGTGTAACTCGGAGGCCTGGGTATATTGATAACGCTGACGCTGTACTGCGGCGGCGGAGCGGGTGGTTGTTGTTGCGAGGTCGAAACTATAGATCCTTGTGGCTTTTGTATCAACGGTAGAGGTGCCGCTTGCTCCTGTATTATTGACATATCATATTGACAGTATTTGTATAGAAATGACGTGAATCATTAACTTTTTAAAAGGTATTCCTGCTTCAGTGCGCATAAATCATGATAAATTGTAATAAACTGTATTCATTACCAACATAACCATCCCACTAGTCGTGCGGTGGGGGGCATCCGAGGAAATTTTGCAAAGGATTAAAAAAGGGGGTATGTATTAATATACCTTTGTCTGCGTTGGTAGCGGCGCTGGTGCAGGTGGCGGCGCTTGTGCAGGTGTCGGCTGAACAGCGGGTGGCTTTCCAGGAATCACACTAAACAAGTATATATACACAATTGTTTTTTTTAAAGAAAATTACTGTTTATGTTAGTATGTGTGTATAAATCAAATCAGCTAATTTTCATACATACGTACATTCCTCTGGAAGTTGAGTGACACATCAGAGTTAAAATAAATCAAGCTACGACGTCATAATTTTTTATTTCATACAATCTATAAAATACATTTTAAAGTTTCATAAAAAAATACGGTGAATGTCCTAAAAATTATTTTAGTGGGAAAGCCATGTTTCGGCACAATAGGGCCTTCTCGAGTCTTTTAAGCAAGTGCTCGTTTGCCCCCTTTTTTTTTTTTTTTCCGTGCGGAAATCCCCTCGGATACCACCTGTCGGTGGCATGTCGGACTCGAACCGACTAAAACCGCACGCCGTCGCCGGGTACTAATAGCCGGGGAACCAGGTATACCATAGAAAGGAAGTCCCTGGTGCCCCGACATACCTCGGGTCATCTACAGACGAGTAGACGACCCCCCCGTGTGGGAACCCCATGTTCCCTGTGCTCCCTGGAAGCGAGCGCGCTTCGCAACGCGCTCGCCGCCACCCCGGCCTGCTTCTGCTAGGGTGACAGATGGCCTCACCTGTCACCCACAGGCCTGCGCTTATGGAGGACGAAGGTCGTTCTGCGACCTCCGGCGCCTGAGTCGCCTGCGGTGCCTGGCCCGTTCCCGGGCCTGGCGGGCCGGGAGAGTCCTAAACCTCTCCCGGTCCCGCTCCGCGCTCGTTTGCCCCCTATGTCATAAAAAACTAACAAATTTCACTCGACCGTAAACTACATTATTACATTAAAATATGTAATTCACCTGGTCATGGCAGCTGCAGGTAAGTTAAACTGCTGTGGAGGTGTACAAAGTTGAGGCGCGTCTTTACTTAAATTGATCACATTGAATATAGTGAGCAAGCCATTTTGTGACAACACGTGAAGTAGTGGCATTGGATGCAAAGATTGATTCTCTCCTGTAATAGATAATGAAATATATGCAATACTCGTACTGCTTTGGGCATTCATGATAGTTGTCAGGAAATTTGTTTTAACACTAAATTAAGTGTTTTTAATCTATGATTTGGGTACACAGTTAAACGGTAGGCGGCTTTTATACATTTTTAGGTATCAGGGTATAAGTACAAATGAACTGTAATTCCAATTTCCTATTCCAAATTTGTTGATTCCAATGGCATAGTATTAATGGTAAAAAATAATCAACATATTGAAGTAACAAAAACTTACAATAGTGTGCGTTACCCCAGCAAAATAATGTCGAAAATGGTCATTTAAACGTTATAGATAATTAGTTGCTCCCCTTCTGTAATTGTTAAGCACATTTTTAAATTTGTTTCTCTTAAACTTTTTTAGTTATTTCAAAAAAACATTTCCTGCTGGGGTAACGTTTGAAACGTTACCGCAGCCAGACATTTTCTTTTTTAATTGTAATATTGAAATAAATTTTAGCTAAATAATTAGTTATCTGGACTAGGTAAATGTTACAATTTATTTGGTATTTGTATTTTCTTCGGCTGCGAAGTTATTCGAGATCCTGCTGGAGTAACGTTTGTGGGTTTGCTGGATCTCTGAAACGGGTAAGCGGATTGTAACCATCTTTTGTACATAACTTCTTAAGGATTAGTTTTAATTTGTTCGACAGTAAAATAACAAAAATAATGGACCGTTTAAAAATTATTTAGGTAAGTATGAAAACACTTCAATACGTCCTAACACTTTGAATAAGACCTCTAAAGACTTACTTCAAACGTTATTCTATTGCTTGTAACTACCTTCAAATGTATACGAATTTTCGTAAGAATACTGTAAGTGACTAAAAAGTTATGATGAAATGTAGCTCTCCACGTTCACGATCACAATGTGTGCGGCCTTTTTTGGCCACCGATAAACCTGTGTGTGGATATATAAACTGAATGTTATGCCAACAATTAGTTGTTTAGTTCAGTTGTCTACCTGTAAAATTTCGGCATCGTACATATAATAATTTACGAGATAGTTAAATAAAAGTCATTAGAAGGTGCAAGTCCGTGGTAACCCGACCATGTTTAGGTGGTTACAAAAAAGCGATCACTTAGTACATTGCGCTGTCTTTTAAAATGTTTAGTGTAATACACCTTACGATTTCGGTACAGTTGCGTACAGTGTTAAATACATTCAATATTTATTCATTATTATTACCTATTATTTATTTTGTTCTTTTTTCCTAATTGATCTTAAGCACTAGTTTCTTTACTTAAAATTTCTTTAGTCTGTTTAACTACCGGAGATACAATCAACAGAAAATCTGCACTGGCCCGCTAAAATTATAAATATGTAGATACATGTATGAATGATTCACCTGACTGCAATAAATCGAAAATTTAAACCATTAAGAAATCGTTTCATTTCTTTGATTTTTTTTGTAAAGAAATAACACTGAAGTAATTGTATTTTATTTTGAGGTATATATAGCTTAGACTTGAATGCATCAAAATATTTAAAGAAACAAGTCATCTACAATTAGTTAAAATAGACCATAATAGTAGAAGAATACAGTTGTAAATTAGAATGCATCAACATTGCATCGCCCAACAGTCGTATACCTCGTAAGAGTCGGTAATATTGTTCTGTGGTCTATACCGAGAACCGAGAATTATCTATACCTATGTACCTACCTGTGACTGTTGATTTCTGTTAAAAACGAACAGTTGTTGAATGATATTTTGATATAATAACGGTAATTTAATTTATCGAGTGAAAGTGATACATTTTATAGATAAAATTATTGGTCAGATAATATTTGTCAATCAAGAATCGCCGATAATACATCCTTAGCTAGAACGCGGGAGGGGACGGGCGAAGGGATACTTCATTGTTTGCACTTTGCATCTAGTGCACTAAACTTGACCCTTAGGCAGATAATATACGTCTTGTAAAGTGCGTGTGCGCTTCCGCTTTCTATTTTTGCAAATATTTATCGTATTCTTGGGAGTTCTTCAATATGTGTGTACCTAATTACTAGTAATGGGAATTAATGCTAATTAGATTCAATTTAAGTAATTGCGAATTCTTGTCTTAGGATGTTAATTACTAATGCTAATATTGAAATTTCGTTCGGGGTGAACAAATTATGGAGTGACGATTTGCGCAAGATGGCTGGCAGGAGCTGGATGCGAGAAGCCCAAAATCGATCTAAGTGGCGTGCAATGGGAGAGGCCTATGTCCAGCAGTGGACTGCGATAGGCTGATGATGAACAAATTAAAAACGATCATAACTTGTAGGTATATCACTATTACTAATTTTACATAAATAATTTATTTTATTATAATTTAACTCACCGCGATTTTGTGATCAGATATTTTATTATCTCCAACATTATTACAGAAATAATGCACTGCAGAGTTTGTTTGCGATATGCCAGCCTAAGTCGATTTATCACTTTGAAAAAATCCCAATCTATTTACAAAATACCTATTTACAACGCATACGTTACACTCTTCAAAACTTAAATTACCTATACCTACCCTAAAATTAAACTTCAATTAACAAATACTACACAGGTACCAATTCTATGAACAACTATAAACAATTCACCTAAACATTACGAGAAAACAAAAGCATTCAAAACAATACCTAATCTCCCGGCTGATTACTAATTATGCAATAAACAATCCTAAATAAAAATTATTTAAAAACATGTAGTTTTTTGTAACACTTATGTACATATCCGTAGTAAACTTGCAAATAATATCCTACATATTTTAAAAGCCAGCACAATGTACTGGGTGATCGCTTTTATGTAACCACCTAAACATGGTCGGGTTACCACGGTCTTGCACCTTCTAATGACTTTTATTTAATTATCTCGTAAATTATTATATGTACGACGCTGAAATTTTACAGGTAGACAACTGAACTAAACAACTAATTGTTGGCATAACATTCAGTTTATATATCCACACACAGGTTTATCGGTGGCCAAAAAAGGCCGCACACATTGTGATCGTGATCGTGGAGAGCTACATTTCATCATAACTTTTTAGTCACTTACAGTATTCTTACGAAAATTCGTATACATTTAAAGGTAGTTACAAGCAATAGAATAACGTTTGAAGTAAGTCTTTAGAGGTCTTATTCAAAGTGTTAGGACGTATTGAAGTGTTTTCATACTTACCTAAATAATTTTTAAACGGTCCATTATTTTTGTTATTTTACTGTCGAACAAATTAAAACTAATCCTTAAGAAGTTATGTACAAAAGATGGTTACAATCCGCTTACCCGTTTCAGAGATCCAGCAAACCCACAAACGTTACTCCAGCAGGATCTCGAATAACTTCGCAGCCGAAGAAAATACAAATACCAAATAAATTGTAACATTTACCTAGTCCAGATAACTAATTATTTAGCTAAAATTTATTTCAATATTACAATTAAAAAAGAAAATGTCTGGCTGCGGTAACGTTTCAAACGTTACCCCAGCAGGAAATGTTTTTTTTGAAATAACTAAAAAAGTTTAAGAGAAACAAATTTAAAAATGTGCTTAACAATTACAGAAGGGGAGCAACTAATTATCTATAACGTTTAAATGACCATTTTCGACATTATTTTGCTGGGGTAACGCACACACTACAAAGCTTATTGCTATCGGATACATAACAGGACGTTTCAATGCTATGACGATATGTATAGTAAAATTCAAAAAAGTCATATTAATTTAATGCCTCACGCGATTATTTATACATTATCATAATATTTATAGATTATTATAAATCTGATAATATCAGAATATATACAAATATATATAAAACTACTTTTTAGAACTTAATCTTGAAATAACCTTGTTGCCGTCCGTCATATTAGTGGCTATCATAATGCAACGGTCACTTGACATGCTATGGTGGATACTTTAAAATTGTGAATTTTAATGTTAGTAATTTTATTTGACAAATATGTTTTTAAAAAGATAACTAGAACTAGATGTCTGAGAATGAAAAGTATCGCTTTAGAAAGTAACTTACGTTTCTTGATACTCATTTTACAAAATGATCTGTGATTTTTTTATACGATAACTAACTTAATTTTAGAAAAATAGGTATATACATTTTACTTTACATGACTATTTGAGATTGTAATTTGTTAAAAGTAAATCTTACATAATTATTTGAATGTAGTCAACTACATTCTCTGTCTGTGATTTTTATATAATTTGTATAAACAAAGAAAAAAATATTTGAGGTATTTTAAATTAGAAGATAAAACAGTAGGACTTACTCTAAGTATTCTACTACATTGTGATGTTAGGTAATATTACCACAGATCTGTGATTTTTAACGATATAAGTAGGCATAGGTAGGTATAGTGAATTGAAAACATTCATTCTATAGGCAATATCTGTTATTATCTGTGATTGTTTTACATGAATAAGGTCATAAAAACAGAATTACTGTTTGTAATATTTATCTGTGATTGTTTTTAACTTTAATTAATATTTTAAAATTATTATTTTGCATGTAAATAAAAATTATTCAAGAAACGTAGTTTTTTGTAACACTTATGTACATATCCGTACTAAACTTGCAAACTATATCCTACATATTTTAAAAGCCAGCACAATGTACTAGGTGATCGCTTTTTCGTAACCACCTAAACATGGTCGGGTTACCACGGTCTTGCACCTTCTAATGACTTTTATTTAATTATCTCGTAAATTATTATATGTACGACGCTGAAATTTTACAGGTAGACAACTGAACTAAACAACTAATTATTGGTATAACATTGAGTTTATATATCCACAGACAGGTTTATCGGTGGCCAAAAAAGGCCGCACACATTGTGATCGTGAACGTGGAAAGCTACATTTCATCATAACTTTTTAGTCACTAACAGTATACTAACGAAAATTCGTATACATTTGAAGGCAGTTACAAGCAATAGAATAACGTTTACAGTAAGTCTTTAGAGGTCTTATTCAAGGTGTTAGGACGTATTGAAGTGTTTTCATACTAACCTAAATAATTTTTAAACGGTCCATTATTTTTGTTATTTTATTGTCGAACAAATTAAAACTAATCCTTAAGAAGTTATGTACAAAAGATGGTTACAATCCGCTTACCCGTTTCAGAGATCCAGCAAACCCACAAACGTTACCCCAGCAGGATTTCGAATAACTTCGCAGCCGAAGAAAATACAAATACCAAATAAGTTGTAACATTTACCTAGTCCAGATAACTAATTATTTAGCTAAAATTTATTTCAATATTACAATTAAAAAAGAAAATGTCTGGCTGCGGTAACGTTTCAAACGTTACTCCAGCAGGAAATGTTTTTTTGAAATAACAAAAAAAATATAAGAGAAACAAATTTAAAAATGTGCTTAACAATTACAGAAGGGGGGCAACTAATTATCTATAACGTTTAAATGACCATTTTCGACATTATTTTGCTGGGGTAACGCACACCTTACAATAAAATCTTTAAAATTTTATTTTATAACAGTGCAAATATAGTCTAAAGAGTCAGACAAGTAATTAACAATACCAGTATTTCTCATACAAGTCATTAGTTGGTTGGATTAAGAACAATAGTACCTACCTAACTAGTAAGTAAACATGAGTTACTTGTTATTAGAGGTCCTTATTTAACTAAATATTGATGATATATTTATTTCTTTATGATGCATAATGTAGTGTGTATAATGATGCACTGTGCATTGAATGCACAATGCAATTTGTATGTACAATTTATCTAAACACAATATTATGTATTATCAAATCACCTTTACCAGCTAAACCTTTGCTTAACCAGATGAAACTCTTTGTTTTGGTTCAGATATATTTCACACATGTTACTGTGACAGTTATCATGTCAAATAGAAGATTATAAGTCAATATATAATATAAAAATATTACGTTCCCACGAAAACTTTTTAATAAAAAATATACAATGTGTAAATATCAAGTCAATTCATAGATTAATTTAAAAAAAAGCGCAGTATACAAAGTCAGTCACAAAGACTGATTTTTTTATACTTATATGTATAAATTACTTGTTCCTGTACAATACCGGCACTTGTACAATGACCAGCAAACAACTAATAAAACAGGTTAATATCATTAACAAGAATGCATTACTTACCCATAGGCAGCTGGTATATGGCACTAGTATCAATGCTAATTCCAATAGGGAAATTCTCTATCTTTTTGTCAGTTAACGGAAGTTCGGGCCTAGCCTCGTCACTCTACGAACAAGATGACAATTATAAATATGTACGGACTATATACATCTAGGGGAGAGATTTATAATATGTTATTGTTACCTGACACCACTGAGTCCAACTCTCTCCATCTTTTTTAGAACCCAAAGTCGCTATTTCCATGCTGTTGGATGATGATGCCATTATAAGAGACCTGAAAACATATGATTTACATTTAATATTGATTTATGTGGTGCATAGCAAAAAGTGTTGAACTCAGTTTAAGGGATGCCTAGCGAGACTGTGGAACGGTGTAAGTGTTTCCACGGGAGATGTGCTAGGCCGATGGGCGGTGCGAGGAAGCTTAGCGACGCTGGGAAACGGTGCGCGGATGAGCGGTGCGAAAATGTGTAACGAGCTCGTTTTAGATGCGAACTACTGTTTTTCCGCTCGCGTACGTCCCTAGCACACATCTCTCGCAAAACATCCATAGCACACTACCTTCCCGTTTTGCAATTACAAAAACCTCGCTCCGCTGAGCCTTTTCCACCAGAGCTACGCTGAGCGATGCTAGGTTAATGAAGTGATCTATTGGTTCTTAACAGACACATCCCCGCTACATGATATATGCTCGCATATCTCTGGTGGAAACGCAGCCTTAATGTACTAACAGAGAGTAATACATTTCTAAGAAATGACAATAAATGAAGGCAAAGGTATGTGTTAAACATATTCTAAGAATATAGTAGGTATACTTACCATTGAGGTATTGCCTGTAGGTAGTAATACCATGGTCTATTGGTCCCCATGCTGTAGCAAATGTCTTCATAGTTAAGACAGTGTGGTGGATTGACTTTAGGTGTATTTACTACAGTAACCACTGCAAAGATATATTTTACTTAAAAACTTTGTTTTATCAATATTTATAAGTTGCATTCAATCATTTTTTTAAATCGACATATTGATTATATAACTACACTGAATTTTATACAAAATAGATACAAAATTTTTTTCTTACTTACAAGAAACACCCTAATATCTAAACTACCAACAAATGGGATAATAGCTTGTATTGTTTGCTTTTCCTTTTAAATTTATCATTTTTTAATAAATCGATATCTTGATATCTCTCTAAAAACTTTTACTTGATACTACTACTACTTGTTTTTTATTTAGGATTGATTAATGAAAGCCCTTTTTATACATAGATGAGATTATACATCATACTTTACGATTTATAAAGAAAAATTGAGATTTCATATGTTCAACATACATAATTTGCACTTTATAGGCTGTTTACATGCTTGGCCTCGAAAAGTTTTCACAAACACAAGCGTGCAAACGGGGTGTTTGGCTCCGCTTGCGTGAGCTTGTCGTCGACCGGGACTAGTGTCAGTTTTTGAACACAGATCAAAGGAAGCTTGCGGTAAGCGTTTGCGACGTATTTACATGTTGGCGCGTGCTTGTTCCCCCCAGCTCAATTTGATATTAGTTGAGCAGTAGGGCATCAACATTAAGTCTCAATGCTCTACCGGTTGCGCAGCATGGCCGTTTATATTTCTGCCTGGTCGAAAAACATTTGCAAGCTTGTAAATGGCATCCAAGCGTTTGTAAAGGCTTGAATCGTGCCAAGCTATGGCACGCATGTAAACTAGGCATTAGACCTATCCTTGAGCATACAAACTAAAGTATTGACTTGTATGTTTTATATATATGTATTCTTTATTGTACACATTAATATTGAGTGACAAGGGAACTACATGTACAAAGGCGAGCTTAACCCAGATGTTTGGTTTTTATACAAAATCATACCTGGGCGACTGTTATCTGTTGCATTCTTAAAGACAACAGTAAACATAAAGGTGGAGATCCAATACACAGCGAGAGCTTCAATTGGAGCGCCATCAAATAATTTAGGTGCTGGAATGTTCTTGGCTGGAGTCAGATCTGGTTTATACTGAGTAAGTGTTCCATCACTATTACCAGTCACTAGCTGTTTGCCTTTCGGACTCCAGCACAAACATCTGCAGGCAAAAAATTTGTTGTCTACACTAAGTAATTTATAATTATATAAATCATTATGACATTATTATTAACGCAGTACATAATTATTTATGTACTGCGTTAATAATAATTTATGTTAGGCAAAGGTAACAGCATTATAGAGTAAGATTAAAATTTTATTTCACATACCTTGCCTTAGACTGCACCATCTTTACTTGAGATGTACTAATATTTGCCACTAAGAGAGACCCATCATAGAATACCATAGCTAGACTATCGGCAATTATTGGATTCCATTGTAAACCTGATACAAAGGTTGAGGTCTTATTTAGCGGGATGTTAATGGGTTGTAGACTCTGTAAATTTCAAAAGCATTATTAACATATTATTTAATAAACACCAATCTAAGACAGTATTCATCATCATGTGATTCTCTATATCGCCCACTTGCAACGACTGTGTGACATCTCGAAGTATACGATTTTTCATTTTATTGATATTTTGAATCGCGATCTCGCGTTCTACTATATTCAAAAAACGGGATATTTTTTGCTACAAAAACAACAAAGAAAATGAGAGAAAGAGACAAAATATCACAGTGTAGCGCTGTCTCGTTGGCTTCGACACAGTGGCAATTCAGTTATCACCTGAGCTTCGACTTGTGAAGTGCTCTCGGTTTTCATAAAAACGTGACTTCACGAGGTTACCATGATTGGGCTGATAAAGGTGAGTTTTTTGTAATAATTTTATTTTAACTGGCAATGTGGCACGTCATATTTATTACAGTATTCATGTAAAACATCAAGGGAAGTGAACGAGATACGTTTTTGATGTCACGTTTTTGTTGAAAGATATCCACAGTATCATCGCATCATTTTGAATTGTAACGTTGTTGATGATACATGTTTCCCTTATACTGGAAAAATGTTGTGCGTCATTTATTGATGTTCTGTTGTTGCACAATATATATTGATAAAATATAATTGTATGTTCACATAATATGTGGTATGGTATGTTACAGCAATATAAAACTCCAGTTTTCTTTACAGATGGGGAAAAGGTCCAAACGAATATTGTTTGCCCAGTAGCAACCTAATTGCTTGTAACAATCCGGGTTCAAATACTGGTAATAATGAGGATGAAATATTTGACGACCAACAAACGACACAAAATCATCTCCATCGCAGTTTATCAACGAGTTCAATCTTCTCCAAGTACTTTGCGTAGTGGCTCTTCAAGTTCTACATCTTTCTCTGAGGGCAGCGATGACTCTGTGAGCTATGAAGAGATTCAAGTAAAACGCCGACCAGTGTTTTCACTCAATGATGTGAGCGAAAATGTTTCGACAGCCGCGACTAGTCAGCAAACGACAAACCAAGATAGAAGGTTAGCCATCGACTCGGTAATTTTTATTTCTAATGAAAATCCAATCGATGCACCTGATACTATGAGTAACGAAAGTCAATGGAAATGATGACCAATGGAAAAAGTTAAGATCAAAGTTTGTTTAATCTTATTTAAAACCACTTTGAACATCAATATAAACAGCCCAAAATAAAGAAAAAGGAAAAAAAAATACAAACATTTTTGTGGCCGTTTTCGACCTTCAAGCCATTTCAGTGCCCTGAAAGGAGACATCCATTTTTTATTATAAATCAAAACTGAATGTATTGAACCTGACAATTTATAATCTCAAACTGCTTTGAAAGTTACGTGTGGGATGAATCCAAAGGCTCACAGAAGTGTGCATGAGATTGCCAACTGCGTTTTCCAATACTTAAAGAAGATTTCTGAAGGACGAAATTCAATTTACGTTGTTTTTTACTCCAACAACTGTGCTTGCCAGCAGAATAATATATCAATCAAAATCAGAATAATATAGAAATCAAAGCTGCATGAAAAAAGTCAGAGCCAATACATGTAAATTAATTATGTTACAGTCATACTTGTGATTGGAAGGTTGTTCTCAATCAAATGAATTTTGCAATTTACAAGGATAAAGATTAAAACGTTGTTAAAACTTCTGAAATAAAAGAGATTCGAGTGCTAAAAGATGATCCCCATGCAATCTACTATCGTACGTCTTTTGCGGATGAAATTACAAGACTTTTTCGAAAATTTGTAATTCTTTTCAATTTGATACATTGTTTAAAAATATAATAGTAGACAGATTTTATATGACTACTGAATTTCGCTATAATATAAGTACATACTGATATCTAGTTATAAATCTATAAAGTCATTAGTTCCTAAGTTTCTACTTACATAGTTTATCTATAAATATAGTTGTTCTTATAATAGCTTACAAAATTGGTTTTTGCGGTCTGTAATGTTTTATTTTGATACAATTATTTTTTTGAATAAATTAAAATAACGTGATCATACCTTCTACACAGATCTCAGATAATACTAGGCAATCATACCTAATAGTTTACACAAGTGCCTAATTATAATTACCTAATAATGCCTTTAATTATGGAAATGTTTATTTTTCCTATCAATGTCTTTTGTTTGTTTTTATCAATTATAACTTTTTCATGAATCAAAGTGTAAATTAAAGTATGATTGAAACACTTATCACTATGTTGAATTGTTCTTTTATTTCTAAAATAAAAGACTGATTATCAAGAATGTCTTTTTTTTTTATAATTAATTAAATGTTAATTTTTACATCATCTTCAACGTGACAACTAAACCTACCAGCTCGTAAAATTTCTTATTTCTGGAACAATGTGATGTGAAAGTTTTAAAAAAAAGCAGAACTTGTTTTTTTTTAAAACTTTATAAATGAAGTTAATTTGGTTACAAATATGTTTTTTTTTGACATTTCATTGTTAGTTATACTCCATTATCTTCATACATAATAAACCTATCTTGACAACAATTTAAGACTTATGCTTATTTGAAAGTTAAAAAGTTGTTTTCTGTAAAATTATGTTTTTTGAGGTGTCAGACTGTCGTCACAAGTGGGTGATATGTGCAACCCTTTTTTTTTACAAGGCCTATTGATTTTTGATAAGTAATAAATCTTCTTTAGAAGTTCCATGAGGTTTATCGGTACTTGAACTAACCAAAAAATCTTCTAAGTTTTTCTTTGTTATGTATTGCTTAAGTAACTTTGATATCACAAAATGTCTAATATGCAATCATCAGTGTTTTTCACTTTAGTTGTAAGTATAAGCTCATAATTTACCTACATTTGTTTGGAAAGTCCAACTGGTGTTTGAATCTGACAATCCCTTTATAAAGAGCTTTGTTGGATCTAAAATTTGTTTGTTATACTTAAATGAAATATACACACTGCATGAAACCTATATCTTAATTAGTATGAATACTACTTGAAGTCTTTACCTATATATTAATCTGAGAAATTTAAAATTGGTTAAATAAATTATATGGTTCCATGGATAACCAAACTGTTGCTGGCATAAGCTAGCAAATAAAAAGAATTATGAAATGGGAGCACTAGGTGACCTCTAGTTCTAATAATAATAGTAAATATAGTACATACTCACTGTGTTTTGAAAATTATAGATATTATAAACAGAAAGCAGCTGCCCTCCTGTAACAGCCAACAGCTCTTGGTCACTACTGACGGCTATATGGGTTGGGGCTTCCTGGAGGTTTATAGTTATGTGTTGAGGCTCACAATCCTTGTCAACAAGATCTTTTAAATGATATACTAAAAAAAAGAAGTATTGTATGTGATTATTTTTAGTTACTTGAGCAGTTCATTTTATTTATTTTTTGCAGAAAACACTGTTACAATGGTGTTAGAAAATTACATGTTTCAAGTGCTTCTACTGTAAGGCATGCAAAAGTATACATTATTTACTTATCATTAATTACTTTTCATTTAGTCTTTATACATTTTATTATTATTCAAAAATATAGTTATTATTGTTGTCAATATCATTAATATCAGATTCTTACATTGTAGATTAGTAAATTTCATAAGCAATTGACAGCTAGAAACCGATGATGACGACTTGCATTTTAAATACAAGCTCTCGCGTTGAATGGCCCCAAAATATAAGACCAAATCTTAAAATTTTAGCTATCATCCTATGATATGCAGTTTACAGAAATTCATTATTACTATAAACTAGTGTAGATTATAACTACACATTCACACGTAGCCCAGTATGGGCAATGTGTGAATGTGTACTTATTATTATACCTACAACTTGAATTAACTTATGTCAGGGAGTCCTAGCCTTCCAATAGTTTATAAACAAAATACACAAGAAACAAGAACATTTTTCACATATTTCAATGTCACAAAAAGTAAAAAACGCAGTTTACAACTATTTAAGACTCAATAAAATGTTAATATGTATACATACCAGTCAGGAACCTATCAGGTGTACCCACAAAAACAAGTCCATATTTGCTACTGCATGCAACCAAGTTATACCCTTTATTAGGTAGAGGATTACTTGTATTAAATACTTTGATTTTACGTTGTAGCTTATAAAGTAGACTCTGGAATAAAAATAATCAAAAACTTAAAAAATCAAAACATGTATAAATCTGTAGTAGTGAATAAGAACAGTCACACTATTACAACAGAATTGGTGTCTATCTAAAGGTTACATTATTCATATTTAAAGTTTAAGTTGTGTTAAATTTACTAACATAAAATACTTCATTTAGATAATACAAACTTGGTTAAAATAATAATAAATTTATATTTCGTATCGACAACCAAGGATTTCGCTACCTACCGGCTCGTCAATTGGATTCGGCCCTAATGAGCTCTCCATTTCTGATGAATTTGATGCGTTATTCAAAACTCTTACACTTAACCTATATATTGATGTCAACAAATATCATATATACACAACAATTAAAAGGAATATTAATATATTTTTTTATTTCTTATTTTTTTATTTTATCGTACATATATAAAATAAAATCGCGTTAAACTAAATAAACTGACATCTGCCATGGATAATGTTGCCAGCTCTTATAACCTTTAACTACCAAAAGTCTGTAAATCAGAATCTACCAAGGGCAAAAATATTGTTCTGGAAATAGCATACAATAAGGTTAGTAAAGATGGCGGGAGGTAAGTACTTAAAATTTTTTAGTTTAATTTTTATTATAATCATAAATTGTTGTCTCAATGAATTCAAATTAATATGAGGGGTTCCAGTTAGTGGCTATAAATTAATTAACTTTCGAGTACCATCAACAACTTACAATAGAAAGAAACCTTCGTTCGGCCAACAATCTCCTTCTACTCTGTCCTTCTCACACCACTGGGTTTGTCGGCTCTTCGTTCTTCGTCCAGTCTGTCCTCTTGTGAAATGCGCTTCCTCTCGAAATCAGGATGGCCACAAATTGGTACTCTTTAAGGACGCAAGTGAAAGAGCTTTTGCTAAGTGAAATGGCAGATTCAACGAGCTCTTAGTTCATGGCCTAAAATTGAAATATTTTTTTATAATATAAATGTAAATATGAATATATATGTGTATGTACGTTTATATATGTATGTGTGTGGTATTTAGATGTATACATCAAATTCTAAGACAGTTAGTATTTAAGAAAACCTTTATCATTTATTACAGCCTAAATAATAAATATATGCACCTACCTCATTCTTTCTCAACATCGCCCAATCGGTCGACTGGCAGAGAATGTCTTAGGCATTAAGTCCGCCGATACACGTACTTGTGCAAGTTATAACATAAATATCCGGAACTATCACAGCCAAAAATTTCTTAAGCGATTTCTTAATTTCTTTCTAGAGAGAACAAGAGGCCTAATCTTGCAAGATAAGCACCGAGAGAAATGGATAATGGTTAGTGCCCCCTATCTCTTTCTAGCCGAGCTCTGTGGTTGGCTAGGGATATTTCTCAGCCAACCATGAGGGCTTAAAAAGTAGCCAATCGCAGTTTAGCTAAACAGAGACAGAGGGAAGTATCCTGAATCCATCTCCCTCGAGCAGTTGTACCCCGTGTTCTCTCTCATAGTTATATCTCTATGGTCCAGAGGGAGAAACGGGTACATATGGAATTTTATTGAGGGGTTGCCCCTCTACACAGACCTCAAAATGCCATATGTGGCCAATCCTGCGCTTTATAAAGTTGCAGGCGCTGAGTTCTCTTAGCTATAGATTTTAAAGATCATCAGCTCACTTCCTAGGTGACGAAGGGGTGATCTGAAATTTGGTATATTGTTACTTTGATGGTATTTCCATTTCCATTCCATTTGATACCAACTCAGAAAATTACATCATATATATCATGTTTGGGCTTATTAAAACAGTCTCAATAAGCAGTTGTTGTTTTCTAAAGTTTTTTCTGTATCGAAGGGTTTTTAATGATGCTGTTATTGTTTGGTGAATTACAAAATCTTGTGAAGCTATTATAAAATATACTCATCTTCACATAGTGTAAAATAAATCGCTTTTTTGTGTTTTTTTAATGCGGTTTTCACCAATAGAGACAGAGTGATTTATAAGCGGGAGGTTTATATGTATAATACATTCACATTATAGTAGAGAAAATCCGAAAATTTCAAAAATTTGTCTTAAGAAACATGGTTTTGAGCGCTTACATTGAAAACGCTGGCTAATCCTTCGAGATAGACCAAAATAATGTACTACGGCATTGTATATCTTAAAAAGATCTACAAAAAAGTCCGCGATGGTGTATGTCTATCGCCTATATGTATATCGTTATTTACGAAGCTATTTAAAACTATACGTTATTATTCCTTATCCAATTACATACGTTAGATAGGTACGTTATGCATTTAATGTAGATTAAAATTGCTTTTTACAGCATATCATTAAAATGAATGTTTCAGAAGAGCAAAAAATCTATGCTTTTCTATAGTGCCCTACGTTCTAGATGGTAACAGTTGCTCTAATTAGTTAAATATAGATGACACGACTCAATTAAATGATTATTTAAGGTCCCAATGTAGTGCAGTGATCTCTATTAATAGTAGGAAAATATTTTTTGTTGAAATTTTTTGTTGTGTTATCGTGCAGTAGCACTCCACGCATCAATTCTGAAGTCCTTCGTAGACTGATGACTTATTGAGCTTTTTCTTTTTTTTCTGCATCTTTACGGGTCTTAATATTTATAATACTACTGGTATTATTAAAAAAACCCGCGGCTTCACTAGTGATTATTTCTAATGTGTTTCCTTGCCTTATTTTACCCCCTAAAAGAGGAAATGTTCAAAAATCCTTCTTAGCGGTTTGGCGAATTCTCCAACGCAGAGCCGTTGAAGAATCAGTCAGTCAGGGCAAGTAATTTAAAATTATCTATACAGATAATTTATAATCAGTGAAATCAAACAATGCATTCATTTCAACTAAAGCAGCTAGAGGTTTTTTGAATTCTCATCGGTCAGTCCTGAAGTCAACTGTCTCAATACATAGCTTAAAAGGTAGGAAACTCCAAGGACACTTTATTAATTGGATTAATTAAGATATTTTTCAGGTTTTTCGTTACATAACTTATAGGCTACAAATTAAATGTGACGAGGATGTAACACATTGTTCTGAAATATAAACATTTGAGCAAATTTACTAGGTGATCAGTCTCGACCTATGGCACTCGTTCAAGACCATAACACACCAGCCATCATCCCGCTCAATCATATGAAAGGCAGCCGGATGATTTCTTTGACGGACTAATACCAAGACAATTCACGTAAAATTATAATTGACAAAATTAATATTAAATCAATACACAATTTTTTTTTATTCCTAAATTTAAAAGATGATTCAACGTCTAAAGGAATCAAAGGTTCTAATAGTTGTCATACACTAAAAACATTAGTATTTTAACAGTAATATTTCAATATTTTCCATAAGTATAGGAAATTTTGTATTAAAACACTCTTGGGAACTTTATATTTTACAGCTAGATTATTTTTTATCACATTGAAACAGTGATTATCGTAACCACAAAAGATAAGTAGCTATTTCGAAATCTTCACTCGGGAAAATTAAGGAACTTTTTTACAAGCCAGCGGTGGGAGGCTTCAGGGAGCGGTAACTTAAATAGGTTATAGTAAAACATGTATCTCCATGATTCCACTTTGTAAAGTTCTTTTGGATTATCTTCAGTCAAAGCTTTGATAAATGTCTCTAAGATGTTTTCGTCCTTCAAAGAATCGTATCTAACATCACGAGTAGTCGCTGCTTCGAGGTAATTAGAGAGGGATTTGATCCTTTCCCCATAAAAGGATTTTTGTTCTTCATTCAAATGTTCTAATATAACATTTCCTGTAGCGCCTTGGTTTGAAATTATATTGCTGGATGTAATAAATCCGCCTGCAATATACAATGTAAAGGTGTTATGATTAAACATATAGATGTAGCTTAGTGCATTCAAATATTAATGTTAATATGAACATGCCTTAAAATTTCGAAATTTGCAAAGATGTGTTTTACGAGTAACACTGACCTTAAAAAGTCTAATTTAGTGTTTATACTTTTTCCCAGGTTAACTGATTTATACGTGTCTTTGACATATTATAGTAAACATAACTTGATCTTGTCTTGTAAAATTGTTCTTGAGGTACTTTTTACTAAAGCTCTATTCTCTGCTTATAGACAACCGATCGGCACATAATTCTTGCACCTTGTATTTTTAGAATTTATTTTCTGGATAACCACTTTGTCTCTGTCCAATGACGGTCAATTTATTTTACATTTTCACAAGGTAGACACGGCATGGATGAAAGTGAATGGAACGGAAAAATAAAATGATATACAATTAAATAATACCTGGTACAAATGAGACGGCACTTAGTCCATATCTCATATGTTCCATCCTTAAAGCCTTGGTCCACCCTAATACGGCAGCCTTGCTAGCACTATATGCAGCGAAGCCTGGCAATGGGTGCAATCCGCAATGGCTTGCCACGTTAATTATACGAGGTCTAGAGGAACCCTTGTTCTGAAATTAAAGCAAATTATATCACGTTATTAAAAATGAAATCACAAAACAATCTTTTGTTAAAAGTAAGTTCATTGCCCTATCAAAAAAGTTTTTGAAGAATAATATTTTATATGAATTTAATTACAATAAATAAGTTGAAAAGTGAAAAGTAGTAAACGCAAAAAACTGAATTAGATTGCGATCGCAAAGACTAAAATCCACACGAATTTTATTATTATCTCCAGTCTACCGCAGGTCTACCATACTATACGTACTTATACATCTACCACCTACCGAAGGTAGGAAGTTACACCAACCTCCTCTGATCTACACCAGAAATTGCGCCTTCTGACTACAGAAGACACCTCGGTTAATAGGGTTGATGACTGTCAAATCAAATCAATATCTTTTATTAAACGTCAAAACGATGGACGCGGTACATTTTAGTATGAAATACTATGGCATGACGTTATACCTAGCTACTGTCAAATCATTTATATTTAATGTTAAAGATATTAATATTTATTATATTCTTTAAAGATATCAAATTAATAAAAACATAAAAATGATCATGAAGGACAAAAGATGTTAGATTTAATGATTCAGGCCAAATAATTTAAACCGAGGAATCCATCCTATTTTGAGCCCAAGTTACGCCATCGTCAGTGGCAATAAACATAGCCCGGTCTTGCTGTCTCATTTTTTTGTTCGGGTAAACAGACAATAAAGGATTTTACCGTCTTTTTTACTGATTAGAAGAAGACCTTCAAAAGAACGGAGACTTGACTGAGATGAGGAAAAAACGTAGGACATGCACATATACTAAGTAGTTGGCCGTAGTATTACAGACAGAGTTAAAAAAAATTTACTATAATCACACAGCATAATGTTTTAGAATAATAAGCATATAATTACGTGACTACTGAAAATTTCGTGATATCAGGTAACTCAATATCTACAGAAAATTATAACAATAAACGACGATGAAAGTAAAAACAAAAAAAAACAGAGAACAATTTTTATTTAATTTCAATATACTTTTGCCTAAGTCTAGGCTTACGTTTTCAATTTAATATTTTGAATAAAGAAACATTGATGTTTTTCCTGTTGATGATATTACTTCCGGGGTTTTCCACGTTCTGTATAATATTATCTACGAGTAGGTAGGTAGGTACTTCGCCGACAGCAAAATGCTTACAAAGTCAATTTCATTTGAACGAAGAATCCTATTTCACTGTTTACGTAGAAATCACTTTATTATTTCGATGGTATCAAATTTTCTATCGTTGTTATTACGATACCCGTTTCCGGGAAACCGTAATAATATGAATTTTAAGTCGTTTAGGGGTTATAGGACAACAAAAAGGGTCTCTTATGAACGTTACTTGTTTATATTATTTTGTCAGTGATTGAACCTACTTATGCATATGTATTATATGTTATGTTTTAAATTTTTACTAACTTTATATAGTGTTTTCTTAAATTTAGGATTTAAGAAACGGCAAGCAATATGCATTACCTATTCTTTTTTTTGGCCCAGTGTTAAATTCTTAGTAACAAAACGTTCCAAGCCGTAATAACTTTTCTATATTCTAGAGTTTGTTCATCTAAAGCGGCAGGGATTCTTGCCGCATACGGTTTAAGAAAGTATTCTTTTTGATAATTTGGTGCCCGTAATCATCCGTGTGCCTGGGGATAAGAAAAGATTTTAAATCAATTTAACAGGTTTATCAAAGAAAGACAGCAGAGGTGAGGTGGAGGTTGCTGGTTCAACTGATGTACAAACAAGGCTTTGATGTCGATGCGAAGAAACAAATAAATTAACGAATCTAGAAAAGATATTGTTTTTTTTTAAATCAATTTATAAATTTTTACTTCCATTTAAAATCATGGACGTATAAAAAAGACGGAACTCCCACTAAGACAAAACTGAGGCACCGAAATTTGTGCCCTTAAACACAGTTAATAAATAAAAATATTTGAACTGTTGGAAAATTTGCTATTCTACTGTTTAATATCCTAAGAGTTGAGTAATTTATTTTTATAATAATCCTTTACTTTGGAAGGTTCTACAAATTTCCTATAATTTAGAGGCTACTAATATTCGTATGTGTATACGTTGTATTGTATGTTCGCGTGCTGGCCTGTACGTGCAGCGAACTGGCCGACTATGAGTGACACAATTTTTTTTAAGCGAGACTGTCCGACTTTTTTTATATGTCCATGGTATGTATGTATGTATAAATGTCAAGATTGTGACCAGAGACACAGTCTCAAGGGTTTCTTTTAGAAAATCTGTTTTTTTGCCGAAAATCAAACTACGTTCTCTAGCCAAGTTTTGTAGGAAACGTTTTATGATTGAAATCGGGAGGCAACGAGGCAGTAAATTGGATCAGTCAGCGCTTTCTAGGTCTGATATTTTCCGTTATGATGGTAGTCACTTGGAAAATTCATGTCTTAGATAGTCGGATTTACAGCAACCTGGAATTTGATCGTAATTAAAAGTGATTTTAAAATAACTTGGTGTGGAGGAACGGGTGTCATGTCCCTCAAACACAACGAGAAGATCCTTCGATCAGGCGAGGTGATCATGCCTGGCAGGCCGCGGCCCAAAGTTTGATGTTGGGAACTCGTATAAATGCTAACTAATCGCCACGATCGCTACACCTGGTATGTTGTTGTTTATGATTAATCCCTTTGCTTGAATTCCGCCAAAAAAGTAAAACCTCTGACTTAATCCTTTGCAAGCCAATTTCGATATGAACCTTTTTACAAATGTGAAATGGTGCTGTTGTCACAAGTCCATTTTATGATTTCACATGTCCACTCAGTGGATGTAGAATATTCAAATGTTTATAAAATAAGTTTAAAATATTAGTTAACAAGTTTTATTTTACTCTTAATTTAGCTTAGGTTCTTTTAAGTTATTCCTTTTAGTGTTAGTTAATTTACCTTCAAAAGGTCCTCCTTATTTTATGCTCTATCACTGGGAACGTAAATAATTATGATTTTAAGTATAAATATCGAACTAACGAACACAAATATTTGTATGTAATATTTGTATGTTAAGTTAAGTAACCGAACATACCTAAATACTTTTTTTTTGAAAAATAAAGCAATGTAAGTATTCTCAATGCAATGGGATTAAAAAGGTTAACACATCGATATCAATGGGTTCTACAGAGTTCTGTCAGGAGAAGCAAAGGAATCATTGTTGTTCGTTTTTTTAATTCTTAAACTTAATCATTTAAAGAAATTAAAAATCATAAGTTTGAAACTAAGGATGTATTAGACGTCAGCACAAGTTCGTTATCGGTAAAGTATAAACAACAAGCAGTAAGTTATGGACCCGGCAGTCTCCATCAAATGTCTGGCTATCCAAATCGTACTATCAATCATGGCAGGAACATATAACGGTGGTGGCGCGTCTGGGACAGTCCAGTAGGCGGTTATCCGCGGCATTTTTACGTTTTGATAAATATGCTAGTTATAGGGTAAAAGCCGGATAGTTGCCTCAGACGGATAGTTGCCCCGGTTTTGAATACACTATGATAGGAGTGTTAGTTATGTTAGCGCTTAAGATAGATAGAATAAGAAGTGACCCCCCACAGGCCTCAGTGCCATGTAAGCAATCGGAGTAGGCGAACGTGTTTTGTCCGTGTGAGCAAAAATCTTCCGCTGTAAAACGCTGACGGGCGTTGATCTTATTTTGGTAAGTAATTTTAGTTGAATATTTTTATTATTGATCGTGCTTTTAGTCAACTTTTTGTTTCTTTGTATGCATTAGAGTCTAAATTACAATGAATATTATGTTTCATTACTCAATAGTTTTTTTTTATTTTTTAAATAAAAAGGGCAGGTATCCGCATCAAAAAGGATAGTCGCCCTACTTACTTTTGCGGATAGTTGCCCCTAGAGTGACTGTAAATTCTTCATCGAGCAAGCACAGTTTTTTTTTTCTTTTGTTGTCTTTTCCAATTTACTGTGACTTATAAGTTGTTTTAAACAAAATAAATAGTTAACTATTTTATATATTTATTTTAGGAAAGCAAAATGCTTCGCAGCCGTGGTGCCACGCCACATCAGCTGGACAGAAGATAGTTTAGCACTTGTAATACCACTTAGCATGACTAAAAGAGCCAAACAATCGGCAGAAATTTTAAACTCTGACGATAAAATAGTCCAGAAGAAGGATAAAGCCGAAAAAATAAAAAAATGCTGGTAACAAGAAAAGCATTGAGAAAAAAAAGGAAAACCGCAAAAAAATAAAAACACCAAAAAGACTAGATAAAAGACTTGATAAGACTAGCAGTGAAACTGAATCTGATAACGCAGAGTTTATGAAACATAATAAGGGAAAAGCTTTAAGGAAGAGAAGATTAATAATAACCTTAAGTTTGAATAATATTTTTATATTTTAAAGCATTAAAACTGAAGAATATTTAATAATGTTAATTAATATTTTAATGTATACTTAATAAAAGATCTCATTAAATTATGAAGACTGATAAATAAATGATAAAGATTAATTAAATTGATATAAATTTATTTTTATCCCAAAAAAACATATATCGAGGTGACTATCCTCGCACGAGGCAAGTATCCCACGAAGGATTTTCCACGCTAGGCTACTATCCGCCATAGTAGGCAACTATCCGTTTTTTCAGAGGCCAAATAAAACAGGATTTAAAGAAAACCAATGTTAATTATGTTAACAAAAATAGGCTATAATAGAAGATAATAGACCTATGTTATGAAATACATATCGTATAATTTTCAGCAAGTAAATATTTAAAAAATATAAAGCTTTTTTGAAAAGTGGGGCAACTATCCGGCTTTTACCCTGTAGTGTATTTTTTTTCAATGAGTATTTACCACTTATTAAATCATCGATGACATTATTTTGTCTCTATGAAACAAACAAATAAGGTAACCATTACTTAGTCATTCAATTTTTTGTGAGAATTAAATTCTACCGAATGTGCTACGTTTAATGTTCACTGTACGGGGCATAATGGATCTAATTTTCTGTGTACGAGTACATGATGTGAAAGTAAGATTATTTTTCTAAGACTACTAGAAATAATATGTTACCTCTAACGCAGAACATCTAAGGTCAGGTAGGAACGCAGATACAACTCGCATAGCACCGAGCAGATTGACGTTGATAGTATTCTCAATTATTGCGGGTGTTTGCCACTCGTAGTCACCAATAGTCATGACACCTGAGTTGTTTATTATTGCGTGTAGTTCTGTAATATATTAAAAAAAATTAAAACCTGGTTTATTATGACACTGGCTGCTGCGATCTTCATTAAATTCCAAAAAGAAAGACATAAAATGACCTAGCCCGACTAACATCGAAACATACGTACATTGCAGGCCTATTGGTCTAGTGGTTAGTGATCCTGACTGCTAAACTGGAGGTCGTGGGTTCGATTCCCACCTAGGACAAATATTCATTTCATATATAGTCATTTATTCTGTGTCAGGATGTAATCTAAGTATAATATGTATGTATTTAGAAGTATATAAGTATGATTTTCAGCAGTTTTGTTACCATAGCACGTGCTCTGTCTAGTTTGGGATCAGACGGCCGTGTGTGAGATGTGTGAGGTACATTATTATTATATTTATTATGTAATTTAATTGAACCGAAACGTCTGAAACGACTTGGTATGTTATAATGATTTCTTTGGTAATGAATACCCTTATTAACAATTTAGTTGCCTATATTAGTTCTGAACAAAATGTTAACGTGTTGAAATAATGGTTTTGCAGGTGACGACAATAAAATAATACATATACTTACTGTAATTAGGGTTTTTAGTCAGCAAACATTTCACGTAATTCCGAAACTCAGCTATACTCTCCACGCTTGTCACATCTAGGGGACAGGGATGTGCACACAGTTTTCTTAAACTCTCAGCCGCACTTGTATCAACTCCTTGATACATACCGGCTATTGTAACAATACCTTCACGAGCTGATCTTGCTGCAATTGCCCAACCTAAGCCGCTGTCACACCCAGTTATAGCTACCACACGAGTAACTGACATTGTTTTTTCTTAAAAGTTTTTGCTTATACAATATAAGGCCCTTAGTTTCTTTTTAAACAGAGATAAATTTATTATTTAAACACGCCACGAGGAGTTTTTATAATAGTCCAGGTAAGTTCAAAGCTAGGAGACAACTGATGCCCGCGAATAGGATCTTCGATAGAGTCATTGAATATGAAACGGGTTTTGTTGCATATTTACAATGAATCTCATTTTATTCCCGTTACGGTCACCTTTGTAAACAACAAGACATGAAGTGGCTTCTACATTTGAATATTGTATTTAAGTAAGATAACGGTTGTAAATAATAAGCAATTATTTTTATAAACCTATTCTAGTTAACGTTTAACACTATACAACCACAGTTTATAATGTTTATGATAGTTTAGAAGGCACAGCACTATAGTAAAATGGCATAAAGCACAAGCAAAAGAAAGCAGATTAAAACACAAGCAAGTAAAAAGTCTTTAACTACAGAGCGATATAATTATAAACGCGGGTGTCCGAATACAAATATAAAAGTCTTATCGCAAGCGAGCGTGCGTCCTCGCTTCGACTAATCATAGAAAATGCTGGCACCGCCTACCTTTGTTGTAGTAATCAACGTATAAAAGTGTCTGAAAACATATATTCGCAAAATAAATAATTTTATCATTCGTTACTATCTGACGTATTTGGCGCGATTGTGATCACTACCCATTGACCCTGCTGACTTCGAGTTAAAAACAAAAGCGCCCTGACTTTCGAGGTTGAAATTTTTTATTCTTTTAATTCAATTTTTAACTCGGCATTCAATTTTCAAATCAGAACTTCTGACGTGACGTTACTTACGATAGTAATTGAAACAATGCTTGGTCAGGTATCTGGCGGGCTAGATAATCGGCTATCCACTTAAAAAGCTTTCCTTTTCATTTCTACTTTTTAATTCACTCTCTGCTTGTATACTAAGAAGTGTATCATATTGACGACTTCTTAGACCTTTGGAAATAATTTCGTAAGCCATAACATGATTCAAGCAATCCTCGAAGAATTATGACCTACTATATGTCACATTCTAAATCACTCCCTTTCTTGCAGCAAATGTTCGCAAGCTTGAAAAGAACCGCAAATTATCCCCTTAACCAAAAAAAGTCAATTCTTCACTTTGTGGATTGTATTTATGTGTACGTGTATAAGGATATATTTGACTAAACATATTTGATTCATTTTATGACTTTCAAGTTCTTCAAGATATCAAATGCTGCTTATTACATACTTATGTATTTGCTATACATAGGTACATATAATGATGATGATGAAATGATTTACACAAAAACTACCTATAATTTTTTAAGTTGTTTTAAGTATTTTTTAAATTATTTATTAATCATCAATCATTATACAAATTTGACCACTTAGAATGAAAAAAATGGTTTATTATTATGTGTTTTTAACACCAACAAATAGTATTATTTGTACATAAATTAAAACTAATTTAAAATTTACCATTATAAACGCCCTTCCGAGTATGAATGCGCAACGTATCGAAGTACAAAAAAATGTTAATCTACCAATTTAACCAAAACTTAGGTTCTTATAGGTACAAATGAAAAAATGTCGAACGCTTGTACAAAGAGACGCCAATAAAAGAGGATCGTTTCAGCACGAATAACCATCTGAGAGATTAGACCTATTGAACGGATACAATCTTGTATTTCTGCTTGACTTAATTCAGTATCAGATCTGGGCGCCTAAATGTGTTACGCTAAAATACCACAAATTGAACCCGTCCTATCACCTGATAACACTTAATCGAGCGTTGCAATGTTAATATTGCTTTTCTTGTAAAAATATAACCTAGAAACCATAATTAAAGATAAACTAATTCATTAGATTTTAAAATAAGTTGCACTTTATTAAGTACATTATTACTCATATAAGCGGTATTATAAAATAAAAGAAAGAGGTAAAAATCGGTTTTAGTCGACGTATCGGTTGTGAGGTAAATAGATTGGCAAATAACAAAATGTGTCCAGCCCAGCGGGACGTACGCTAATTGTGACGTGGTGCGGATATTTACCGACGCACCGTTCTTTATTTGTTGCATTGATTTTACATAAATTTACCACCCGGCGAGAGGAGGGACATAGATTGTGGATGTTCTGCGATATTGGGATTCAGGGATCACAATCGAAATCGCTTATAAATCGTCTTGTCACTTTTTTTTTTGTACGACAGTTTTAGGCTGTCAAAAGACAACCGGTAGGTCCGTATTGGGTTAGATATATTATAATTTATAAAAATATATGATACGAATACAATTTTAACATTGTTATTGTTGCTACTCAGATTACAATGTTGTATTTACAGTAAAAATTATTTGAAACAATAACTTATCTTCAGAACACCTAAGTGTAACTCCGTTTTAACTTTTTAACTTTCTCAGCTTTTTTTAATAAAAACACCCGTCCACAAGTCTTGCGGCGAATGGCGGTCATCCAACCGCCACTTTCAAGGAAGAAGGGCGCTCTTGGGAAATCTGTACGCCCTCGGCTCAGTCCTGATAATAGTGTTTGCTCATTTGAGTGTTCTTCTAGGGGGACTGTGTTCCACGACATTTAATAGTGTATTAGAAACGAGGCTACAAACTTTGTAGATCGGCCAAACTGGAAGCGTAAGAGTGTTGCGTCAATATGTAAGGGGAAGTATCAATTTGCAGTATCACATATACCAGCCGATAACAAAAAGAAGTTCATTTTAACGTGTTTTGAAGCAGCAGCATTTTTGTTGTTGTCATTTTATGTGTGTACCTACAGTTTTATAATAATAGATTTAAAAATTATATTTACACATAAAATAAAAAAATCTCTCTTTGTATATAAATGTTATATAAAAGATTATAGTAACAGTATAATCTATATAAAAGTTACATTTATATTAAATACGTGCAGATAATATATAATTCTCGTATTTTATCTAATAGGTTAAAAATAATGAAGCTTTATTATACGTCCCATTCAAAATATATTCTATAGGTAATTAGAACAGAGCTAGTGATTGGTCATCTTTTGATGAAATAAAACTAAATCAAAATCGGTCCATTTAGAAGCTTTCCAAACTGAGATATAATTCAGGTTTAAGTTATAATACCAATTTTTGAGTTGGAGGTTAAAAAATGTTACGGACACACGCATGAGCATGGTTATATAGTTATTTATTTATTTATATTTTTCTCATATAAGATGTATGTAAGGTTCAAATTTGGTGAGAGTGTTGTAATAATAAAATTCTACTTTACCGGTCATCTATGTATATTATCAAGTTTTAGTGACAACACTAACTTGAAAGTACTTCTCTAGTAAGTCTATGGTTTTGGTTTGTACTCTCTGGAATCTCTGAAATAAAATTACGCTGTGTTAAATTTACTTTTGCCGTTTTTAATTAATCTCTCTTAAATTTTTAGTTATGGTTATTTTACACATTACAACATTGAAGTACTCGTAGTTACATATTTTTGGATTTTTTGACCCACCCGTACTGATTCGTATCATTACTCGTATCAGTCGAAATTATATATAATATATTTCTTTACTTTTCAACTGATAACAAATCTTTAAAACTTCGTGTATTTTTTTTATATCGAAAAAGAAAAAATAATACATATGTAGGTAAATTAAACATGCGTTATCGTTACGTTATGTGCACTGGTTTTTGTGACGTAGCAAGTCGGAGTTTCACACAATCCATCATCATTCGTCAAACACAGCTTGCCGCTTTTACGCCAAAACATACAGGATAATTGGCTGTTCGAAAATACTTCATAGGAATATTTATTTGACAGATGTAATACTGATTTTGTTGACATAACTATATATAACATGTAACAAGGTGAAGTCACTGGGTCCTATAATACAGTTCGTACTAGTTTAGTTCTTATTTATGCTATTTGTAACACTTTTATGTCAATAAATATTTCATTTCATTTCAATTACTAATATAAAAAATTCCTTATTTCATAATTATTAATAACTAGCTTTTGCTATATGTTGGTTATTGCGGTAAAAAGTAGTCTATAGCACTCTGGGAAAATGTACCTTTCTAACAGTGAAAGAATTTTTAATATCGAATCAGTAGTACCGGAGATTACCCCGAACATACAAACTAACGAACTTTACCTCCTAATAATATTAGTATAGATATAGAATTAAGAATGTACATATATTTCGATCATATCACGCCTTGTAAGTCTTTGTTTAAATTTATGCTACTTTTTAACCCCAGAGGCAAGTGTGTCTGTTGCATCGTAATTCTCATACAGATGAATCGGTTATAATTTAGTTTATTTTTTTTTCTGCAAAGAGAAGGAAAACTTGAAATAAACCCCGTACCAATCCGTCTAGCCAGCGTGGTATAGTAGGCCAAAAATTCTAAGGAGAGGCCTATGTCTAGCAGTGGATTGTTAGAAGCTGATGATGATGAAGATCATCTTTTTTTAAAGTGATGTAATTTAAGAAGAATGATTTAGAATTTAAAGATAATTAGATCTTTTCTATTCTTTGAAGAGTTCAATGAGTCAGGAGTATTTGTTTTTTTTTTTATTTATAATCCCTATAGGTACAAGTTAGAAAGATTCAGCTAAATTGCATTGCTGAATCATATCGTTGTAGACGACCGGATGGCGTAGTGGTTCGTGTAACGGATTGCTGTTGCAAAGGTCGCGGGTTCGATTCCCGCTCATGTCAAACATTTGTGTGCATGAACATTTAATGTTTGATCTGGTCTGGGTGTTTCTATGTATAATACGTATGTATTTACAAAAAAAAAAGTATATATGTATTTATATCAGTTGTCTAGTACTAGAGCTTGTAAAGCTCAAGCTCTGCTTAGTTTGGGACTAGATGGCGATGTGTGAATGCGGTACAATATTATATTATTATTATATTGTCCGTGTGGTGAAGGATTAAGAATACAAATTGTCACCACCCCAATTCATCCTGTGGGTGTCGTAAGAGCCGACTAAGGGAGCAAACTAAGCAGGACAACAGCACTGCAAAGAGAAGGAAAACTTGAAACAAACCCTATACCAACCCGTCTGGCCAGCGTGGTTTAGTAGGCCAAATCCTCCTTTCTAAGGAGAGGCCTATGTCCAGCAGTGGACTAGTATAGGCTGTTGATGTGATGATGTGACACAATATATGTATAATATAAACGAGTTTAATCAATCTATACCATTGTCTTCAGTGTAATAAATACTAATAGTGAGTCAACTCAGTTACTTAGAGGAGCAAAGCTGGGGCGCGGTATGAAGGAGAGGGGAGGAACCCTAATGCCCGCGACGTCTGCGGTAGTATCGGCCGGCTTCGCCCGTTTAGGACGTACATCATTTGCACGCATTTGGTGCAACACATTACTCGCAATATTTTCATTATTTGATAACTGACAGTAGTCCTATTAGCTCTTAATTCTACTAATAATATATAATCTAAGAAGAAGAGTGTAAAAGCCAAAACCAAATAGCCAAAACTTAGTGTTCGTAAGGTGTTTTGCGTCGTTCGGTTAAATTCGCGGCTGACTCGCGGTAACCGGCTCTGGCTCAGTTCGCCGCCGTACAGTGCGGTATTTTTTTTATAGTGTATGGGGAGCTGACGGCTCGCCTGATGATAAGTGACTACCGCCGCCCATGGACACCTGCAACTTAAGACTCACAAGGCGAAAACTAACCTCAAACATTTCTAAAGTATTGATAATCATTTTGTAACATGGCTTTTAAATGTTAATTATATTCTGTAACCCATTTTATCCACTCAAAAAACTTATACTATGTGTTACTTAACTTTAACTGTGAGAAAACCCGTATGGTGTTTAAATTACCTACTCAGCCAACTTGCCTTGTCCTTCCCGCCTATTGCATGAGGTACCTATATAGTTAATTTGGACAGGTGAATTTCTAGTCGGTTATTACCTACTTAGGTTTTTTTATTTTCACCTACATACCTAAATACATTTTCTCTGATTTAGTATTAATACCTTATTACAGTGATTTTAGGTACTATGTATAAGCAGATAAATGTCTTAAACAATACACTAGATTCCAGTATACAATCGAAATTTTGAAACGATAATTAGGGTTTCGGTTTCGGCCGAAATTGAAACAAATGCAAAAAGTTCGGTTTCGGCGAAAAACCTTTTTCGGCTGGACCCTAACATTTGCATATAAATAAAAAAATACTTATATTACTATTTTAATTATATATTAATGACATACATTTTTTATTATGAATAATTATATTACATCTAACTATTTTATTACATTAGCATCGTGATGTAAAGCTGTAGCAGTCACATGGTTGTAAGAATTACATTTACGTATGTCTTTTGCCATTATTTAAAACTATTGGAAGAAAAATAAATAATGAAATGAAATATTCTCCAATGTGTAGTTTTAACCTGTTTAATAACTTTTGTTTAACCTTTTATCCAATATTTTAAACGAAATAGGAAACTGAGATACTGCTGTGTAGGTAAAATATCGTTAAATTAGGCAAGTACTATTTTTACCTACGATCGTTCTTGTGTCAACCTGGGTTGTACTTGAATCCTTGCACATTTTTAGTCGAGACTGTCTTGTAGGTATTTAGCGGTTATCGAAGGAGTTGACTCACTATTAGGATTTATTACACAAATGCCATTGTCTAAAAAAATGTTAATATAACGGTCGGTATTAGCACGGTCTTAATATTGGAATTTATAACAAACCTACACAGTAACTATATTAGTAGTGAGGAAGTACCTACAACTTTTCCCTTCCATCATTTATGGCTAATGCCAATAAGGTTCACAAATTAAGTAAAGTAAGGGAAAATAGCTAGCTAGCTAGAAATTATAAAGTAGAATAGCTTGATCACTAGTAGGTATAAAAAAAACCTATAAACCCATGATTTTTTTAAACTAATGACTAACTGATATAAATGAGTAGTAACTAAGATACCGAACGATTGTAATAAATCCCACCATATTTCACATCAGCTTTTCAATGCCATCAATTTTTGTCTTCATTGCACAATTTTGCAATCGCTGCGCTACTGAATACGGGGGCAATTTACCCGCCAATAACCCTGCCACTACCACGCCAAAATAGCTACAAAATATCGCCATCTCAAATGACGACACAATTTTCAGTTCATAAAGGTTTATTTACGCTTTATGTTATGCAAAATCTAGCTCTTGTGAAATTCCAAGCAATTTTTCTCTATAGTGCTCATGCATTTAACCCTCTATTATACACTACTTATCAGTATAAGAGGTATTTGATCCTACGGGGTATATTTATGCTATTTTAAAATTAATACATATGTATGTATCGTATGATGACATATATTGTAAAACAATATATATTTAAAAAATCATACAAATCACCATGGCGACTTTTCATATTAAACAGTATATCAAAGTATATCATAGTATATCAAAAGCTTCATGGCACGTTATTAATCAGCATAAAAGTACACCAGAACCCATCTTAAAGATACAGCTATCAGATAAAATAATAAAAGACCCGACTGAAGTTGCTAATACATTCAGCAACTTCTTCATAGGCCATATCACATGTGGTTCAAGGACTATTATATCAAACAATACAGTTATGGGTCCGAAAACCAATCACTATTCTCTATTTATGGCTCCAGTGGTACAGCAAGACATAATAAGATTTATGAAATCGTTAAAAAACAAAAACAGCACTGGCTGAGATTTGATATCAACAAGAGTTGTTAAATATGTTTCTGAGGTAATAGCTGTTCCCCTTTGTCACATAACTAATTGTAGTGTAAGATCAGGTGTATATTCAGATAAATTAAAAACGGCTATAATTAAACCACTATATAAAAAAGACTGTAAGGATAAACTAACCAATTACAGGCCTATAGCTCTAACCCCAGTTTTCTCTAAGGTTATAGAAAAATTAATTTACGAAGCTATTGATAATTTTTTACCAAAATTTGACATTCTTTTTGACGAACAAATTAGATTTAGGAAAAATAGAAATATTAACATGGCAATATATGACCTCTTAAGAAAAATAATGGTCAAGGTTGATAATAATAGATAAATAATAGTCAGTATGTGCAATTTTTTTCTTTTTAAAAAAAGGCAACTCCCGAATTAAGAATATATCCTGTGTCGCGAGGGACTTTACAAACGTACATGAAACGGACACAAAGAACACCCAGACTTAGAACAACAATTTGTGCATCACACAAAGTGTCGTCCCATGTGGGGATCGAAACCACAACACTCAGCGTACTCAACACTCAGTAAGTGGCGTGGCGACTGCTTAAACCACTACGCCATCCGTGCAGTCTTCTGATCTTACTGATATGTGTGACTTAAATTCTTACTGATATGTCTAAAGCATTTGACTATGTGAAACATGACATTCTCATCAATAAACTTAACTCTTATAGAATTAGAGGAAATGTTTTAGATTTAATAAAATCATATTTAAGTGATCGCAGACAGTAGGCAGAGATAAATCGTATAAGCGTATAAAGTAAACGTGAAGTAAAGTTTAGGTCTGATTATAAAAACACAGTCTATGGTGTACCGCAGGGAATGCAAAAATTCTGGTAATAAATTTACAGAAAACTACAATAATGCATTTCTTCCGACACAGAATGATAGACAACTCTCATATCAAATATAATAGGCAAGACATATAGGAAGTAAATGTAGCAAATATTTTAATTCTTGTTGACAGTCAGCTTACATGGATGCCGTGGACAGAGAACATTTGCAAGAAATTAAATAAATCTGCTTATGAACTCTTCCATCATGCAAAGAAGGTAAACACACACATGCTTTTTGAATCTCAAAAATACTGTATAGCAATAGCAGGCTTACTAACTACGGTCAGTTGTGTATCTGCTATTAAGAATTTAAAATTATTAACTTTTTCATGCTTATATATTTTGGAAAGAGCAATGTTTGTTAAATGAAACAAACATTTGTTTCCATTATTTAATGACAGCAGAAAACGATCAACACAGTTAAGATCACAATACACTAGCATGTTATCGACGTGTGGATACAAAACTGCACTTCTAAGGAAAAGCGTATGCGTAAGCGTGTAATAAAATACCAGACACATTGAAAAATTTGCCACTTCAACGATTAAAAATATGTTGACTGACTTCCTGGTAGAAAAGGTAGTGATGATGATGGTGTGATGAGACTATTTAAATGATGCAATTTAATTACTATATTATTCTCATTTTTTTAATGACGTTTTATTTCACATTTAGTACCTATTTTGACAAACAAGGTATTTCAATTTATTATTTATAATTATAATTTTATTGACAAGGTTTTATATTTTAATTTTATTTAATAATTGTTTTTCTCTTATCTTAATTAGTTAATTTCAGTTATAAATATTTGTAAGTAATAATCGATCACAATATTATTTTAAAATTTGCATGTAATACGGCAGAATGTACCAGAAAAATTACGCTACTTACACAACATCTAATTTGTATTTTTACCTACATTCTAAACAAATAAAGTTTGATTTAATTTTATAAAAGAGGGTTTCTCATATTGAAAAAAACATAAATAACATGTTTATATAAATATTTAATTTTGACTTTCATAACATAATCAATATATAACAACAGCACAGCATTCTGCTTTGTTATAATAATACTCGTAGTATCTACTTGTAGAGACACACAAAATAAATTATTTTCTTATACTGTTCCGAATCCAGTCGAGGTAGTGGTATACGTTTGTATATAGCGACGGCACAGAGGTCCCGCAGGGTGAGTCCGCCCGCTTCCCACTTACAATACCCACCACTTGAAACTTCCCGCCATACACCGTCATAAGTGGACCGCCAGAGTCCCCTTTACACGTATCCTGACCGCTATAGCCAGCTGCACAAAGATTACGTCTTGAAAGGCTCGGGTAAAACTCATTGCATTTTTCCTGAGGTACTAGATTAACAATGGTGGATTGCTTTATGTCAGACCGGTAGCGGCCGTTTCGCCCCCAGCCGGCCACAGCGAGGCGAAGGTTTGAGAATTTTGGGCTGTCAATATCTATTGATGGCAGACATATTGGTCTTATGTAATCTGTAAAAAAAATCTTTGTTAGTATAAAGTATTCAAGGTGTAATGAGTTTACATATTAAATTATTAGTAGTGTTAAAGTTTTTGAATTTCGTAAATTCATTATTACAGGCACGTTACATTTACAGTTTTATTATATGTTTAGATAAATTGTGCCATAAAAATACATTACTTAAACTTGGATATTTATAACTAAAACATGCCTTTAATGGTAGCAGGTAATCTTCCTTCATAAAAAATAAACTTGAATGTATACATTATCACATCCTATTAACCCTGTTTTACACAGAATAATGTAAGTATAATCAATACATTTAATAGAATGTCGAATAGCACTGGTTGTTGTATAAATCCTTAATACAGTGAACTTGCTTCTCTGATACTCGTAGGTGAGTTTTTAAGCGTAGCGTATTTTATAAAAATCACTTCTTGTGAAAATTACATGCTACTTAATATGGTAATGATTTAAGTCAATTAGTTAACTTTTCTTCTTTGATACGTGATCCCTTGGCCTTATATCTTGTTTTACACATCACATCAACAGCCTTCACTAGTCCACTGCTGGACATAGGCCTCTCCTTAGGAAGGAGGGTTTGGCCTACAATACCACGCTGGCCATCTGGCTGGTGACACTCTGTATTCTTAATCCGTCACCACACGGACTTACTTATCTTGTTTTACAACCACACGCATCTATACATTACTATTTATATGTACACATTACTATTTAGTATACAAACCTGAAAATACAAGGGAACGCAGTACAAAAGCCTCACCTGTATAAGGAGCGGGGTTTCGCAATCTTATCAGTGCGACATCATTCTGTAGCTGTGAGTCTTCGTATTGCGGATGTAGCACAACCTCTTCAGATTTGATAACAACGTTTTCTAAACATTTCTGACCTTGGCCAAGAATATTTTTGCAGTCTTTTGGGAATGTACGCTTGTCGTATTCAGCGAGATATATGTCTACACTGGAATACAATGGTTTGTAAAAAAATGTATTTTGTTTGTTTAAATAGTGATTTCAAATATGTGAATGATAATTAGTTCCAGTAAAATTTTATTTTTAATTTAAACATATTTTTTTAAGAATCTATAGCGTAACACACATATGGAAACATTTAGTTTAATTAGGGTAAAATTTTAAGGTCCGTTCACAAGAGATAAATAAGTAAATATTCTTGGCTTTATTTTTCAATTTTCTATGCTTATGGTACTATAAAGGTTTTAAGATTTTTTTTGTTTCGGACAACGATAACCAAAAAATTTTTTTTCAAAACTGCATAATAAGCTGAACACATTGTCATAAAGAATATTATCTGTACCGACAAACTTACTCAATAACGGTCGCCCCTTCCTCGTAAATGCAATGTCCAGCGGTCAGCACATATCGGGAACTTATAAGGGACCCTCCGCAGTTAAATGCAGCTCTCTTTGTTCCATAGTCAAAATTGACTTTTAATAGGACAGTCCAAGGAAATTGTTCTAATTCAGTTTCCCGTCCACCTTTTAAAAAATACAAAATATTTATTTTTTAAATTGTACGGAGTTGGAACTGTGATCTTAATGAGTGTGATTCTTCAACATTTTATATTAGCTAAAAATTGCTTCAATCATTTGTAGAATTAACACAAGTTATCTAAACTTGTAGTTTTTAGCCCGAAGACTAAAAAGCTAACTTTACTTTGAATAAAAGTTATTTAAAAAAAATAACCCATTGTATCTTTTTCATTAATTTCGTTCAGTGTTTCCAGTTAAAAGTAAAGAAATTCTTTCTATATTCAAACCTTTATTACACACATACACTCTCGTCTGTTTCCCAAAAAAAGAAGAAAACTTTTTGTCCTTTTTACCTAATAGCCTTATATCGGAATAGGAATCGCTTTAGGAATTAGTATATTGAAAGAAAGCCTAGATGTCAAGAGAAAGAAAAATGTAAAAAAGATATTAGTAATACGGATTCAGAAATTATTTTTAATTGAACTATAATATTTTTAACAGATCAGTACAATGACGGCCTGATATGATATGATTGACTAAAATTACATTAAACCATCGAGCTGAATCTGTTAACTATACACAATGATATTACAGTCCAATTTAAATTTGAAGTCTATTTATAATCCCCGATAGGGTATTGTTAATTTTAGATTGTTTATTATGATAAAGATTAATTGAATAATTACAAGACGTCACTAAAAATAGCTATTAGTGACATGTGTTCGATATGATCAAAGTCAGTATTTGTAAACCATGCTTCTTCGGTCATCGTTTGTAATAGGGCAGGATTGCGTTATTCTTTTTAATTTATTTGATTTAAATAACTATAAAAAATAGATGGCAGCAATATATTAATAGGGAAGAAAATATTGCATACATTTTAAAGAAAATTTAAGCCAAAGTTAGCGGCAGAAGGAACTTGAGGTCCTTTTAACTTAGTAAAATTTAGTAAGGTTAAGTTTTATGTGTAGAAAAAATGGAGAATGTAAGTTTAATAAAAAAAAATTGTGACTGCAATATAATGATAGTTCAAATTGTGCTGCAATGTAATATTGTAAAAATCAATAAAAACCTAATAAATTTAATCAGGCGATCTCTAAGGGTCTATTTTATATACGACTAATTTTATATAATCTAGGTTAAACTTTACTGTCATTATATTTTATTATACTAAACTAATGATACAGATAAGTCTATACCTTAAGACCGAAACATTTAAAACTGGAAATAACAGAGAATTACCCTGTTGATTAACATGCCTATTACTCGATTCTGTTAATTTTTAAGCTAATATGTATTTTTCTCGTTGTATAGACAATAAAAACATTTCGATATTAGTCAAATAGGAAGTACTCTTAACTAACTAAATACATACATGTACAATACTATTTACTGGAATTAACATATTAGATATTACATACGTAGCGGTGTCAACATAATATTTAAGCAGTGAAGTATTTGACCCTCTCCTATTTGTCGTACAGAAATGAAAGTTTGTATGTACATATATGTGGTTTGTATGCGAATACTATAAATTTGTAACTTGTAGCTCATCTGATGATGAAATCAGGAGGTGAATATTGAAAATTTTCAGTGATCCCTCGAGTTTGTAATCATATAGTTTTGCTTTGACGAGTCTGAACGATTGGACTTAGTAACAATGGTATAACGATGAAGCCCAAAGATGAATATTAGAGCTCTGTGTAAATTTTTCGGTTTACATTTTAAGCGTATTCCTTTCTATTGATGCACATCATCAGCAATTGATCGTACATGAATGACAAGACATAGCATAACAAAAAGGTTTGTATAAGGGTATGAAACCTGCTGACCATACAAAGGGCAGATCCAAAGTTTCCCCAAAAGGGGTTGTACGAAAGGTTGAATGGCAGAAAAGGAAGTTGGAAGTGAGGTATGTTAGGATAAGAAAAGAACGTACTCCTTCCTAAAAGGCCGGCAACGCGTTTGTGACTCCTGAGTTGCAGACGTTCATGGGCGGCGATAGTCACTTTCCATCAGGTGAACCGTCTACTCGTCTGCCCTCTCTAACATAAAAAAATATAGAAACAAGTGGTAGGCACTTATATTCGTATGTTGGCCAGGCCGAAGGAAAATAGGTGTGAGCATATGTATATATATAATCTGTATTAAATAACTTATAGCTAAAACTATCGACACCTGTTTAAATGATTTTGTTAGTTAGTTAGTATGAAAAATTTGATAATATAGTTTCAGAAAGATTATAATAAATGAAGTGTAAAGGATTAATGGCGTATAGTCACCTTGGAATGTAAATACTTGACAAGAAGCATCTTACCTGCTATTCGGTCATCGATGGTTACATTATCATTTACATCATGTATTGAACGGGCTACTCTGTTCAAGCCAATACCATAACCAGGCCTTCCAAATGGCCAAGACATAAAACCAGAGGATGGTGGATACCGTGTAGTAGTTGTAGTTGGATTCCAATTATTATTTCCATAGTTGGGTGAATTAGGTGAATTTGTGGGTGGTTGTGGTTGACGTCCTGTGCAAAGATAAGTAAAGTGCAGAAAAAGATAGTGATAAGTTAGGTTAGTGATTGGCAAAGAAAGGTAAAGTGTAGATTAATAAAGAACACCAATGTAAGTATAGCGCTATAAAAAATAAGTAACAAAAAGGAATATTCTAACAGGAAACTTTAATTAATTCTGAAATATTTCCTTTATACGTTTTGTAAACACGGAAATTCTTTGTTTCACGTTAAAGATAAAATGTTGAATAGTGTGCAACTTACCGATAATCCTGTCAGTATCAGACGCCTCGCGTCCACAACATCCTGTTTCAGGCTCCGGTGGAAAGCTTGTTATAACACACTGCCCATTTTGGTTAATATTACCATTACTACCGGGTCTGTTTAAAGGAAATAACGGGCTTGGTGTTGCGTATGGATTGTTATTCTCGTTAAAGTAATGTTTGAATGGAGATTGTGTGCTTCTGCCGTCATAACTGTATGGCAAGTTTCCTGGATTAGAATTGTACGGATGATTATTATTTCTATTGTCTTGATAACCTCCATTATTAGGATATTGATTGGAACCAAATCCATTATTGTTTCTGTTATTGTCGTAGTCATAAGAGTTTCGCTGTGTTCTTGTATTGGGATAATTGTAGCGAAGGCCTTGGTCATCATAGTTGTTTTGACGCCCGTAATTTGTATTGAAATCTGCATTTCTTTCATTTATATTGGGTGTTTGATCTGCATTTGTTTCATCAGATTTGAGGTTTCCGCTTGTGCCCCAGATAGCATTAGAACAGCATACCTAAAAATAAAAGACTTGAGAAATAGTGTCTTTGGTAAGTAAAAGTTATCTAACGAGAACTTCTTTCTTCTTCTTACTTATTTAAATCAGTTTTAAACATTTTTTATTATATTTTGAACCTGATAGTTAAATGCAATATATTCACATATAATGACACCGTGGAGGAACGGGTGTCATTTCTATCCAACAAAAAGCGGATTTTGCGACCTGGCGAAATGATCATGCCTAGCACTGATGTATGTTTTTCATTCCTTCTATGTAGAAGTCGCCGTAACACCAAACTTATGAAACCATTTTATCTCGTTGCATTAATGTTGTGATATTAATAATAACATATTTGGATTGTCCGTTGATTGGATATATGCAGTTAAAATGTTATAGCTAGTTTGGAAATGAGGTTTGGTTTAAAAAAATAATTGTTATTCACTTACGTAATCTCCTTTAGCGATTGCTGCGAAACCAAATAGCTTGCTGCGTTCATTATCTTCAGGACTCACACAAGGAAACTTTACTTGCCAAGCATCTTGAGCTTCTTGATTTAGTTTCCGAAACGACGAGCAGTTTTCTTTCTGGACACACTTATCGCAGTCTGTAATATTTTTATGGTGTCTAATAAAATATAGGAGATAACACTTTGTTTTTTCAAGTAGGTACCTCAAGGTAAGTTGTAGTTAAAGTAAATTGGTTCTTTAAAATTAAACAATAAAGGCATAAATGAATCCATTATAACATGATATTCGAAAATTTACAAGAAAATGATAACAATAGAATAAAATTTACCCTCGGCAGCGATCGCCTTTATAAATGACGTTGCTATAAAATATAAGACAAATTTCAACTTCATTATTGCGAAGAACACTTCGAGTACCTGCTTCGTCCTATGACAACGTCTTCTCATGGTTAGAACCTATTGACTGATACGAAGTTATTGTAACGTCGCATTAATGCCTAACTAATTATCAAGTAATTTAAGAAATCTGGTTGTGGGTATTTACTACTAATTACTTTGATGATTGAACTAATAGTTCTGTTGAGTAAATTGAATGACATGGTTATTATAAAATAATGATGTTCTAAGAAATAAATATTGTACTTTCGTTCTACATGCGTATCAAAATCGAACATCAGGAATAGGATGGGACAATTTCCTTAAAGATCTCTGTTTGTTCAGTTATCATGTATCAAATGCATATTTTATTATTTTACTTATATTTTAATTTAAACGAAGACGCAATGTTTAATCTTTATGAGAATTGAGTTCTTCAATTAATCTGTTTTAATTTTTATGCTCATGTATGTCTGCCTGTCGAATACCACTTATACTTTTACAAGAACATAATTGTTACTTGCATTCGCTGCGACTCCGGATTTATTTTATATAAATTTTATAATGCCTGTAATAATTGTGTGGAAAAATTGTATATTGGTACGTATTCAAAGTCAAGAGGGATTGTTCTGAACTATTGCAATAACGAGACCATCGCGTTTATATGTGATGTAATAAAAATGAAAAATGATAACATAGCAACAAACTAAAATATTTCTATACTAGCTGACCAATTGTCTACATATTTTTGAGTAATCAAGATGCGAGCTTTCTTTTGCTATCACATATTTTATATTACATTAACTTAATAATACCTCCCTCCCCATGTCATAATATTCTAGGAAATTTTAAAATAATATTATTTGTATTCAAGTTTAATGACAGCCATTGTTGGGTGTTGTAGGAAGGTTTTTGGTCGACATGTTTCGTATGAGGTGTTAACAGTTAGGAGGATGCTGTTTATCCCAAACCTCTTTATATAATTTATATTTCTCATTCGTACGATACGACACCCTAGGGATGCTGATAGGATGTTCTATTCTAAATTAAGACCGTACTGTTGCGTTTTATAATACTAATGTGTATAATAAAGATATACTTCACTTTATATGGCTCTGTACTGTATAATGAGAAATAGACTTGTTTCATTATTATTATACAAGTGTTTTTTCAAATTTTGTATCGATTCACAACTATATACTCGTATGTTAGAATTACAACATATTTACGTAGCAATTTCATTTAATGTAAATTTAAAAATTGTTACAAGGTGCTATTAAAAATTGGTTTTCAATATATTAAAAAAATATGTATCGTTAAAGCTGATTTTTTACTTCTATCTTTCTTGGCAAAATTTTTGTACTTATTTACAAAAGCTCTTATACAGATAAAGATTTATACCGTTTTCGAGATATTAGGATTGCCGGTTTTGATTAAAAATACAATACTGATTCTGCCAGTTAAGGAGAAGTCAAATTTAATTTCGGACGAATGTATGACATAACAGTTCAGACGTATGTATGACATAACAATTTTAATCACTTCAAACAATTTTAAGAACAAATTCGAAGAAGAATTTTGTTATTGACATTTTAAAGAAAATTAAATCTAGTTTAACCAAAGGTGTCTAGTCGTGACTGTGAATACTGAAGAGCTGTTGAAGGTAATCAGTTTTTTTTGCAGTATAAGTGTATCGGACCCAATGAGGGTGCTGAAATAAAAACTAATTTGATGTTCACCGACAATCTATGGTAGCTCTTTTCCATAAGGTATATTCTGTACTATAAAATTTGCCTTATGGAACTTAGCGCTACCGTAGATTTGATTTGTTTTTATATTCGAATCTATTTACTATAAAAACGGCATAGTTTATACTAGCATTATCCATATTAATACTAATCTATACTATACTATTTTGAAGCGGTGAAGTTTGTTAGTGTGTATGTTCGGGGTAATCTCCGGTACTACTGATCTGATTTTGGAAATTCTTTGACTGTTAGAAAGGTATGTTATGCCTAAGTGCTATAAATGTCTTTTTACCGCGATAACCGACATAAAACTGCCTATCGCGAGCCTCTGAAGATGTTGGTCAAGGCTCTTAGCAATTAATCCATGGGCCAATATGACTTTCGGTACAATGATTGCCGAATCAACACCGAACATGTCGACAATCTTGTGGGCCAACTCCACATACTTTACTTGTTTATCTTTTTTAGCTTTCAAGAGATTGTCGTCATGCGGAATGGTAATGTCAACAATAATTGCTCACCTTTCTGATCGGTCTATTACCACTATATTAGGTTTATTGGCAACGATAGTCCTGTCAGTGATAATAGGGTGATCCTCTACAGTCACAATTATAACTCCACAGTCACAATTTTAAACTTAAGAGCAAGTTGCTGATGGACTATCCTGGCCACTTGGTTGTGTCTATGCAAATACTCGCCGTTGGAAAAACGAGAACAACCGGAAATTTTATGTCTGAGACTTTCACCGGGACAAGGACATGCCCGACAAATGTCTATTGTGCCGTCCTTCGGGATATATTTCCGATAATTATTCGTCATAACAACTTTTATATTATTATTAATATATTTATTATTTATTATTATTATTATAGTATTAAATTTATCCAATTATGTTAGCTGATAAACAAAAACATTCATATTCACATAGACCAAGGTGTTATACCCATTTTGGACTTTGCGGGTATAAATTTTATATATTGCTGTCAAGCAAGTTTAGTTACAAACTAGATTCAAATGTTCCTTTTTCAAAGTTCGACATACATTGATTTCATTATTTAATTAGAGAAAGATAAGGTAATTACAAGTACAAAAGTCCACTGTACAGGTGTACAGTCGGATCTACGCAGTGGAATCCGTGAAATTCACAAAGTGAATTGAAAAGCGGAGGTAATTTAGTCAGCCGTGTCGGGCACCGAAAACGGAACACGCGGAGGTTGCTCCGTGACGTAAATTCAATTAGCTCGGATATACACGCTCTTTAACATACGAAATCAAACGTTTGAATATTTACCTTCTGTGGGAGATCCCGCTAACATAATACCACTCTCTCTGCACACATATTTTAATGAAGTCATTTTAACGAGCTTCGAAACAAATTTGATTTTATTTAGGATGACTGAGTTCTTTATTATTTAAGTGCAAAGTGAGCTTACGAATCGGTTTAGTTAATTTGGAATGAGTTTGAGTGCAGCTTCAGTGGAATAAAAAATAGTGTAACTTTTGCAGATTATGCATTGAAAATATTTGAATGATAATCAACAAAAAAATAAATAATTACAATGTTTGAGAAAAGTTACAATGTTATATCTGCCGTCCTGAAAAGTGCAATAACTCGAGTTTTTGTGGTCGAATTGAGTTATGTGCATTATCAGAATCAGCAAAACGAGATCTATATATAAAGTCTTTAGACAGTTTTTACGTATCTATTGCGGAGCCGGTTTTAATACTAAGTAAAGTTGCATTATCGAGGTTCTTGTATTATGATTTACTTATCAACACCGACATAACTATAGATAGGAACAAGTTAGTCACTTTATTAAGTAATTTTACTAACTATATCTGCAATAAGTATAGTTATTACATTTATAATTAGTATATTTCGTTATTTATAATCTTCATTTACTAGTTATAAGTGCAATACGTTTGAGTTATTGCAAATATGTTAAGGATTCTTATGACTGAATAATTAAATATTACTAAAATTAAGGTAATAAGTAGATATATTGCACTTATTTGTAGAAAGAATAAGCAAATACAATATACAGTATAATGCAATAAATTCACCATTTATTGCGTTTATAACTAGCACCAGGGGACAAGGGGGCACCAGAGGATTGAAATAATAGGGTTTAAAGTATGAAATTGACTTTATATAATCATAGCTACTTTAAATTGACTAAAACCTTCATGGTGTGAGATTTTCGTGTGACACTTTCTTCACCTGATCGCTATGAGGTTCTTCTTTAAAAAATGTGCAACATTCGATTTTCGACTTTCAATTGTTTTTTAATCAGCTTAGACGTGAAAGATAGATACTTCGAAAATCCGAGTTATTTTTGAATACGAGTTTCAACGGGGAACTAAGGGCTCGCAATATCAACGCTGCGTTTGGAGAGGAGACTGCTAATGAACGGACCGCACGTTTTTGGTTTAAACGCTTTCGTAATTGAAACTGCGACGTGAAAAACGAATTACGTATAAGATCGCTCACACAGGTGAATAACGCTAAATTGAAGAAGATGGTGGAAGCCAATCCTGGTCAAACTACCCAGGAATCAGCGGCATGGCTTAACGTTATCCTACCTACAATATTGACTAATTTTCATCAAATCAATAAGATAAAAAAATATGAAAAATGGGTGTCTCATGATCTGCAGAAAGAAATGCGTGTTGAAACTTGTGTTGCCTTGTTAAATTAGTAGAGAAATGAAGGTATATTGGATCGAATTGTGACATGTGACGAAAAGTGGATTGCTTACTATAACCGTAAGCGAAAAATGCAATGACTGGTCCCAGGTCAAAGGCCGTAACAGTGCCTTAAAGCAAAGCTTACAAAGAAAAAGGTAATAGCAACTATTTTGTAGTCTCTTCATGATGTTATTCACTAGAGCTTTCTAGTCAGGTAATAACAGCAGATGTTAACTGTGCCGAACTTAAAACAATGATGGCAAAACAAAACAGGGAAACAACCCCGACTCGTGAATCGATCGTCACCATTATTGCTCCATGATAACGCAAGACCTCACACTGCATGAGAAACCGTTGTAACTCTACAGGAGCTGCAGTTAGTCATCCTCGGTACTTGCCAGACCTTGCTCCAACGGACTACCATGTTTTTAGTGATTGGGACAATTTTCTGCGTGATAAAAAAATGTCGAAACAGTTTGTCGAATCGAAATCCCCAGAGTTCTATCATAAAGGTATAAATAAACTTCCATTTAGATGGCAGCAATGTACCTATAGATAATGAGGGTAAATATTTTGATTAAATAAATATGTTACATCTTTTCAGTACAAATCGGCAATTTCAAACTTTAACCCCTA